AGAACACACTTGAATGAGAAAGTACTTGAATGAGAAGGAGGGAGAATTAATGAAGCCGAGAACAGTGTTGCATGGGAGTGAGATGTGGAATGACTAAACTGAGATGCTGCCAAGGGGAACCTCTCTCCTGGCTCATAAATGTGACAGGGCTGTCAAATAACCTATGGCTATTAGAGGCATCACTTTGCATGCTGGGGCCAGGCGACAGAGGAATCACCCACTTCGCAGAAAAATCGCTTGACTTGGACCACCGCAAGAACCATGGCCCGCATTTCATACAGAAGGCAAACAGTATTAATACAGCCTCTGGGGACTCTTGACCCACCATAATGCATGGGATATAATGCAAGGCTGGGATATCAGGCTGGAGTTCACAGGCCGGGTGTTCCCAATGGCATCATCTTAGCCTTATGGCAGGGAGCAGGATAAAATTATAGGCTTTGGCTAGAAAAGATGAAATTTGCGATAGGTCAGATGAAACAAACCTCTTGCTTTTGTAAATAGCTGGATGCCGTTTTCAAGGCTGGCAACTAGTAAATACTGTGGCAATATGCTGCTGTGTAGTTTATTGCATCCTGGGTCCAAGCTAGCTCATAAAGGCCAGACTAGCAAAGGGAAATGAAATGAGTCTTGTGAACTATTCTCTGAATAATATGCATTAGCCTCTAAACTCCACATTAGATTGGGGTTATCAGATTTTAATAAAATAACTATTCTGTGTCCATAACTCCACCGGAGGGATCTTGGGTCCATCACTTCATCCTTTACTTCATTATTTCGGACGATTTGTCACGTAAAAAGCCAAAAAGATCCATTCCAGCTATAACTCTGGTTATCAGCCATAGAGCCCGGGCTTGCTGGGGAAGAGTGATGAGTAAGATTATTAAGTTAGCTAAGACAGCACGATGGAATCTTTCAAGAATGCTGTTATTGGCTGGCAAGAGGGTATGGAGAATGTATCCAAGTGGAGAGAAGCTGTGAGTTAGATGCAAATAAGTGATGACGGTCCATAAGGTCTAAATTTAGAGTAAGTGCAAATATTACAATGCACTGCATCAGGACTAGGGAGCTAAAGAAGCAAGTGAAGGCAGCACCATGTTCACTATGAATGTCAGTCACCCTGGGCTTCATTTTGATTTTACCAGTTTACAGACTTGTTTATATCTATTATCAAAGTCAACGCCATTCTGTCTTTGCACCTGGACACCCTACAGTGTATGTTCCATACTGTTCCATCCAAACACAGTGGTGCCCAAAACAAAATCAAAACAAACATAAACATATTACAGGCTGAGTTTAAGATTTCTCGTTTTCAAAGTCACAAGTTAATGACTAACATTCAACTTCTGACTCCATCTAATAGACATTTTTTAAAGATTTGTTTTTAGTCTTATGTCTGTGTTTGAGTATATGCACACGAATGTAAGTACCCACAGAGTCCAGAAGAGGGCACTGCATGCCATGAAGTGGGAACTACAGGATGTTGTGAATTACTTGATGTGGTACTGGAAATGGTACTCTTGACTTCTGAAAGAGCATCGAGGGCTCTTAACTACTGAGCCATCTCTCTGCCACCAAATGGACATGTTTGCTTGCACTCTATGATTTATACTTTGAAGAATCAATCCTATCTATGTGAATCTAATTCATTGTAAATCAACAAATTGACTCAATGGATTATTCTCGGTAGTATATGTGTATATGCAAATACATATATACATGCACTAACAATTGGCGAAAAAGAGGCTGGGAATTTGAAGAAGAATGAGCAGGGAAATATGAGAGTGTTTGGAAATAGGTAAGGGAAGGGGGAAATATTGTAATTAAATTATAATCTCAAAATTAGACAATAAGCAAATTTCATTTTAAAATAAGTCATAATAAGATTATGGGCAGAAAAAATGCTGTGGATGACACCCTATGTAAAAAGATATAAATATATAAAACAAATACATAAAAATGTTGCAAACATAACATATATATATATATATATGTATATATATATATATATATATGAGTAGCTTTGATCTGTCTGTTGTCTGCTTGTTTTTAAGACTGAGCAAGTGCTACTGATGGCTAAATCCCCAGGGAGAAACCCCAGAATGAAGAAAAATATTGCTTCTAACACAGTGGACACAGAACCTAAATGTTCAAAGCACAGATTATGTTAGGTTACCTGCCAATGAATGGGCATGCACGTGCTGAGTTAACTGGGAGCCTGTGGTCCAGTGCTACTCCATGCTATTTTGAGAAAACAAAGCAAAGTTAAATAAATAGATGTTTCGAGAAGCATCTAAACATAGACTTCTGTCTTTTCACCAAGAAGAAAGTTAACCTCAGAGTGCAGTGCTATTTAAACAAATCAAAAGCCAGCACTTGGAAGGATTCCTGAAAATCTGAGGTGAGTCTGTGAGTTCAAGGTTAGCTTGGGACAACAGAAAACCTCTCCTTACAATAAAAAGATGTGTTTAAAAAATAAACAATAGCCAATATATAATTTAATAATTAATATGCAATTTAATTTAAAGCAAAGAGGTAAGGAATTTATTTTTCTCTTCAGTTCTGTGGACACACACACAAACACACACACACCTGTGAATACACTACCATTTGAGAATAGAAGAATGTCATAGGAGAAAGAGATTTAGGGAAACTCTTAGAATCAAAGTCTAACTGAACGATCAGTTTGCACATTCTTTTAATTAAATAAAAAAAATAGAGGGAATGAACACATGTTTTTGGCTAGCATGCAGCGACTTCAGGTGATCATGGTACTGTTTAAAATTGCCGGTTGTGGGCTGGAGAGCTGGCTTGTGGGCTTAAGAGAGCCTGTTGTGCAAACACAAGGAGTGACGGTCTGGTACTCCAACACCAAAGTGGGTGGAGACAGAAGGACCTTGGAGAACTGCAGGCTTCCAGGCTCATTGAAGAAAACACAAGTTCAGGGAGAGACTCTGCCTCAATGAATAGGTGGGGATAGACAGAGAATGCCTGACACCTCCCTTGACCTCTGCATGCATTCTTTGTTCATCTTTTGTGTATACACACATGTGCTCACGCTCAGATATGTCACATACACACCACATTCACGCACATAAAAATATGATATAAGCACATTTCTTATACTCACATATATGCGTAACCTATGTAAGTAATCTACACAGATCATCATCGCCTGTGTTTCAGCAGAAACTTGCCTGAGCAGCCCAGAGTAGCAGCCTCAGGATTCTTGCTTTTCTTGTCTCCCCTGAAGCTCCCATGAAGAGAGGCTCCAGATCAGATCAAACAGTCATAGCTTGAACTAGGAGTGAGTGATAATAGGACTCAAGAACTGGCTCAGCAGTGAAGAGCATGGGCTGCTCCAGAAGGATCCAGAACAAATGTCTGGAGCAGTACCAACTGTAACTTCAACAGATGCAATGATCTCTTCTGACCTCCTCAGGGACGTGTGCAAGTGTGCACACATGAGAATGAGCGTGTGTACACACATACACACACACACACACACACGTGAATACACAAACACAGACACATACCTACACATGAATACAAAACAGCAAAATAAAAAGAAGTAGGAAGTTGTTGGTGGGGAAAGCTAGTGATATGAAGAAATGTGATTTTCCTGGCATCAATTGCAGATTTCACAGGCTGCAGTTCTTGGGGACACAATGTTATCTAGTATCCCCTGCCAGTGTCACAGTGTGCTTAGCATTAGTGGGCATACTGGACTTGCCAGGCAGTCCGGGGCCTGATTGTGAGTAGTTTCTGGCTCTGCCCTCCAGGCACAGCATATCCAGCCCTCCTGGAAATCCCACAACATTTTAACAGATGTATTAAGAACAGAGCCAACAAACAAAAATCCCCACCCCCAGTCAGCTGGAGTAAGGTCCTGTTGCTGACTCTAGGAAACCCTTATGACAATATTGGGGGTGGGGAGCAGAGGCAGACTCATCAGACGCCTCTCTCCGGTAAGATGAAACCACACAGAAATACATAGATTAACAAAAATGGGTTAATAATTAAGACAGAGCTAGCCGATAAGAAACTAGTACCTGGCCAACAACATTATATCAAATGCAGCATCTCTGTGCATTATTTGGGGCTGGCTGGCGTGGCGGAGGGACAAGACCAAGGGCGGGCGGGAAAAAAAACCACCCTTACACCAGAGAGCTGGAGAAAGGAGTGGGGGAGGTCAGGTGCTGGAAAAGGCACAGCGAAGGCTTCGGAGGCTGTGGAATGACTGGCAGGTCTGTTTTAACAGAACCGCAGATGCCGTGGGCACACCCAGTGCCATCGCATCTGCTGTCCCTCCCTCTAGAGTCCCACCTGTCTAAGCCCAACCCGGCACTGGTAATCCTCCACACCCAATTCTGTTTTCTTTTGCATACAGCATTGGCAGCTGCTAACAGTCTTAATTTATTTATAAGTTAAACTGTTCACTGACACCCCCCCCAAGAAGAATGCAATCATTGTTTATGTCTTCCAAACTTCCAAAGCAGAAAGGCAGAGAGAGCCTGAGGGGGGTTCTGAAAGAAAACCTTTAAAGGTCATTTGTTCACCTTTGCAGCCACCAGAGGCAGCAGACAGTAGATGGGACGAACACCAGGTAAACTGCAGAGATGAAATCGAAAGCTGGCGGGATCAGGTGCCTGTGGCAGCTTTGACCAGGCCTGTATTCCCACACAAGCCAGAGGCCATTCATTTGTGCAGCGCAGTGTACTCACATTTCCATGCCCAGCCTTTCTTCCTTCTTTCTTTCCTTCCTCCCTCCCTCCCTCCCTCCCTCTTTCTTTCTTTCTTTCTTCCTTCCTTTCTTTCTTTCTTTCTTTCTTTCATGTAGATACTGGAGATTGACCCAGGTTCTCATGCTTATGTGGCTAGCATTTTACCAACTAAGCCATCTCCCCAGCCCTGGCACCCGACTTTAAAACATAGTAGACATTCAAGATCCAAAGCGCATATATTAAATGTGTCCTTAATTATGTAAAATGATTTAGTACCTGCCGTGCCAAACATAGAAGATATGCCTTCTAAAATGGTCTTGTGGATGTCAGGGGACCTGACAGTGGGACAGGACAAATGCAAGTGTCCAGAACACAATCTGGAAAAGAGGAACACAGAAAACATGAATCCTTCTCCCAAGGTAAATGAAAGCAAATTTAGTGTTAACTGTAGGCAGCTGAGAGAGGCAAGGCTAGCGTTTCAGGCAACTGCAAACGACTGGAGAGACAACTTAGCAGTCCAGAGAACCTTTGACCCTTCCAAAGGGCACAGGTTGCATTCTAAGAATCTACAGCACAGCTCACAACCACGTGGAATTCCAGTTTTGGATGATCTGACGCCATCTTCTGGCCTCTGTGGGCACTGAACACGTGTGGTGCTGAGGTGTGAATGGAGGTAAAATACCCATACACAAACAAATAAAGGACAATATGTGAAGATACTTGCTATTAAGTATCACATTTCAAAATAACAAGATTTTACAAATAAGAGTGATGTCAAATCTATACATTGATTCTGTTGCCATAGTTTATCTATAGTATTTACATAGAGCAAACTATCTTTGCTGAACTAAGAAAGGTGGGATTGTGTTTACCAACAAGAAACATAAAGTGTCATGTAGCCATTCACTAAATATTCGGAACAAATTATAACACTTAAGAATGTTAATACAACATGAAAACATCGCCATGAATTAATTTCCTAAAAATACAAATGAATCAGTGGAGAATGGTAGCACTTAGCTATAATCCCAGCACCTGGGAAGCACAGGCTATGAGTTCAAGGACAACTTGGTTCGCACATGAACTTCATAGCAACCAGGCCTACATAGCATGACTATGTTGAGAGCAAGAGAGAGAGAATGAAAATGAGCCAGAAAATGTTCTTCTTGCAAATAAAACATTCATTTTAAATAATTCCAGGAAACCACACTTAAATCTAATTAAGTAAGTTAGGAGGAGCTGGAGCTGAGGCTCGATGGTAGCGCATTTGCAAGGTATGAACAAACTAGTCTTGGGTTCAATACCCAGCACTCCCCCCCAAATTAAAATGAAAGTAAAACAAACAAGAAAATTACAAGAGTTCGACACAAGAAAAAAAATAAATAAATGAATAAATAAAGCAGAGCCATTTTATATCCAAGTACATCTGTCAATTTTCTCTTTTTTGGCCTATCAGAATTATTTTCTATCTAACAATGTAATTTTCAATGCCCAATGGTAACTCAAGGTAATATTCGTAGGAACTTCAAACCTCAGTCTAGGGTTTTAAAACCATGTTGAATGCAGCTGCTTCCAATATAGATTGGACGACCAAGATCTCTGTTGGAATTTGTAATCGATGATAAATGTCTCCTACCAAGTAGACAACATCTGTCTTTTCGATTGTGTAGAATCCTGCTTCTACCCTGGGTCACTCAACCAGCCAGCTTTGAACTTCTATGAAATGCCTCATGTGCCTTGATGTCCCCCACCCAAGCGATGCCCATAACAGTCTTCGTGTCCAAACTTTTATTCAAGAGCTAACATATTTTGGAGGTTGATTTTTATCGTTCCTAATATTTATCACCATAAATTAGTTTGAGTACCTCATCTCTCCTCTGTATAAGGTGCTTAAGATGAAAATCAGCATATTAAAACTGAGCTTCCTGCTGAGGCGGGAGGTTTTTTTTTTCCTAAGGTTAGGCAATACAGGACATCTTAAGGTCCTGGAAAGCTTGGGTTTCCCTTTCACTCGTTTCCTCTAAGCATCTATTGTATTAAAGAAGAGATCATGAACTTGAGAAGGCGTGGAAGTGGGCACAGGAGGTGCTGGAGGGCAAAGGAGGGGTGGGGGACATGTAAACACAGCACCGATGTATGGAATTCTCAAGATGAAAAATGCAAATACAATAGCTGTAAGTGACAAAAATAATTATTTTGAAATCAATCCCTGCAGTGCTTCCGTGAAACAGGGTGTCTCTTGAAATGATCCCAATCCTCCCCCGTGTGGCCAAAAGAGGAAGAGCAATTCAGAAGGGAGGTGTTGAAAGGGGCCAAGCTCAGGTGTATTCAGTTGGGAAGGCAAGGATGCTATTATAGCCTTGACAGAGAGAGAGGAACCAGAGGGCCAGGACCGAGACCCCTGCTGTGCATACATTCTAGAGCAGCATCTGGATCTGGAAAGATGTAGTCTGGAGATTATCTAGCTCACCTTCACACACTGCTTGGAGAGCTCTTTTCCTGTCTCCCTCCTCGGGTTCTTCCTCCCATGAGCTTCCAATGGAAGTGCTAAGCTATTGGATTTGATCAAAAATCATTCCATACTCAACTCATTGCATTGGAAATGAGAGTTCACACCAGGGGAAAGGATTCCAGTGATGATCACAGATCTTCAATAACACAAGAAGAGCTCAAAGTCCTGCGTGCTTGACTGTGGTTTTGAGAGGCACTAAAATTAGGTACCATTTATGAAAACTCTAGAATTCAATAACAAATGGCTGCACGATGGTGTTAAGTGCTTCCCGCCCCCCTTAAAAGCTTTCTCATTTTCAAAGTCTGGTATTTTTTACCTTTAAGATAGTATTTTTGAGAGCTGGTGAGATGGCTCAGAGGTTAAGAGCACTTGTTACTCTTGTAGAGGACCTGAGTTCTGCTCCCACCACCAATGCAGCAGCTCACAACCACCCAGAACTCCAATTCCAGGGGAATCTGCTGTCTTCTAACATCCATAGATAGGCAGTATGTATGTACATACTACACACATGTACAGGTAAAATACTCACACATAAAATAAAATAAACCAGAACAAAAAATATGCTTTTGGTGTGAAGGTACAGGACAGTGATCCCAGCCATCCTCCCTGACATAGCCAGTGTGAGGCCAGCCTGGACTACATGATTACATGCGACCTTACCTCCTGGTACAATAGTTAGAGGAAAGGGAGTACTTCTTCCTTTTAGAAGCTCCCCCAAGGGGGGTACACCATTGGTGGAGGTGGTGCAATACCACATTGCTGCATGGAGTGGACAGTGCAAGCTCTCATTCTACCTCCCAGCTCCAAAAGTCCATTTTCACCATGTTGTCCTCATATAGAGAATGTTTGTGCTATTAAACTGATAAGAACAGATATCACACTTCTCCTTAGCTGAAGGACAAGAAGTGATTTCTTTACTTCTTAAAAAATTAAGAAAAGGGCTAGGCTATACAGCACATGCCTATAATCCTGGACTCTACCAGGGAAACTGAAGCAAGAGAATCATGTGTTCAAGGCTGGCCTAGGACATTGTTTCAACACACACACACACACACACACACACACACACACACACACACACACAAGATACTAGAGAGTTAATAAAATGTTTCCATGCAATAGTGACTCAAAAAGCTAAAGTGGCCCTAACATCACTGACAAATCTGGGAAATGATTTCAAAAGCACTGCCCAATGGAATGGCAATCAAAAGTATGCTGAAGGGTCAAGTACATGGTCAGAGTGCAAAAAAAGAGAGCCACCTGGCCACTAAACTGCAAGAGAGCTAAGGAGGAAGTGAGAAGAGATAGGGAAGGAGGCTCCCAGGCTGGCTGCATCCTTCAACCGCAGCCAATAGGAGATGTAATGGTCAGCTTCCGGAAGTGCCCTTTTTAAGTTAATTGCTACATGCTGCTCAAGCTCCCTGGGTTTCTGGCACTGGAAGTGGGGTTGGTCCCCCTACTTCAGGCCCTAGCGTGTTCACATCAGGGGTTCTCCAAACCCCCTCGTGTGGGAAGTGGACCCCCACACTCTGTGACAGGGAAGAAAGACAGACCACAAGATAGCTGAAGACAGAACTACAGCCTTGAGAACAGCAGGCAGGTAGATCATTTCCCACACATGCTATCACAGTGTAGCCCACGATGAAAGAGTTGTACAGTGCGAAAGAGGAGCTGCAAGTATGGCCATGGCAAGCTCACTCAGAAAAGCAAGCTCAACTGGGAACTCCCGCTGCTGTAACCTCCCCAGCTGGCTTCTTATGTATGTTTTGAGTACCTGATTTGATGATGCCATCCCTCTAGTTGCTGTTTGTTCTTTTACTTGGAAATCTCACCAGAGAGGACACTGCTGTGGTCAAGACTCTCTATGGGTACCTACAACTGGATGTCTTAAAAATGTCTTCCCAGTTGATTTTTCTGCTGCCTGATTTGATAGTGTTTCTCTATGTATCCATCCATCTGTCCATCCATCCATCTGTCCACCCATCATCTATTCATCACTTGCTATTTATTCTTTCACTTTGGCTTTTTATATATTTAAGAATTATACTCATCTAAAGCTAGAAATGATGGCTATTATAGATCATATTTTGAAACAAAAGAAGAAAAAAATCTCTGTAACGGTCCAGATAATCTTCTGTCAATCATGGCCAACACAAACATATATACGGCAATTTCTGACCAAAGAACTTCATATTTAGAGCTGTGAGATACCTACAGCTGGGAAGGGGGAGGAGAGGTTACTGAGCAAGGTCATACGAGTGCCGCCATGACAATAATTGAGTGGCATGTTGGCCACAATGGCTTCTGGGCTTACTTACAACTCCAGGGAAGCAGCAGATAAAAATGGCAAAAAGCCAGCTTTGATACCACTGAGAAATGTGCTGGAAAGTTTATTTGCCAGTCAAGCACTACATAGAATTAGGAAATGAACGGTTTTCCCCTCAAAATAACTTCGTGAAGTATAGCCAGTATCTTGCGATGGTCTGTCAAAGCGCACCTTGGCCCCAATAGACTCTCCTGGTAAGCTGGTGACAATCCCATCTAATGTTCAGGTTCTGGGTCCCATGGGCTTCAAGGGAGGAGAGAGGAAGTACTGACCCGATCTGGACCCGAACAACCTTTCCATCACTTACAGCTATTAGGGCTTCTTCAGCAATAGGCGATCCTAAAACCAGAACAGTAGAGCCATGGCCATCCTAGGCATTGAGGGCTCAAGCATTTTGTACCCATGGCAGCCTATATTCATTATTAATGGCCATTGAAAGAAGCCATTGATTTCAACGAGGGTGGTGTATTTATGTAGGGCACACACATTATTTATTGAGTACCAATGTTGTTAAGCACTTTACATTACCTCCAGTTAAATCCTCCCAACCATCCTTGGAGGCAGTTCAGATGAGGACATGGATGCAGCTGGGAGAGGTTAAAGGAATAGCTAGCCCTTTGTCACCCATCTATGGGAACTGGCTTCAGATCTGTTGAGAAGGTTTTTCCAAGCCTCTGCTCATGCTTCACACAGCCCCTTGGAAGTGCCAACAAGGAAGATTCAGCAAGATGAAACTTCCAGTCATCATCAGACATGTCCTTTCAGATCAGTGCCAGGTCCAATCACAAAAAAAAAAAACTGACCTCTGTGTCCAGTCAATAGCGCTTTGTGTGGCTTTCTTCAGGGGAACTTTCTGGAGAGACCCTGAGAACTAGCACTCTGGCTGGCTGTTGTGTGCACGCTTGGGAAGTTTCTCTTCAGTTTTGCTGTAGTGTAATCAGCTTGTTGAGAAGAGTTAGAGAAGACTATGAGAACATACAGAGGAGTGAGGGGGCAGTGTGGGGTTCTTCACTTGACTGGCAACGATGAAATATGGATTCTTGTGGGTGGCACATGTTTGATCAGAAAGGCCAGACTATCTGTCTTTGTCATGTACAACAGATTAAAAGAAGTAAAGATATTGGGACCTAGGAATCAAGCAACTACCTGGGCCTTCAGAAACAGGAAAGAAAAATGTGGAATATTTATTCCTAGTTGTTAGAGAAAATGAAAAAAAAAAAAAATAACCACAGCTACCAGAGATGGGCTAGGTATTCCTATTTCATCAAACACAGATTCATAGACAGCCATCATTCCATTTCAGCCAATGTAATGAACAGCTTGGGTTAAGGAGACAGTGTGCTGACCAGGAAATCAGGGAAGACTAAGCATAAATCTCCTGGCTTTCACCTAGTTCATAACAGCTTTAAACACACACACACACACACACACACACACACACACACACACACACACACACACACACCATGGAAACAATGGGGGAATATTTGGGAAGAGGGAAGGAAATAAGTAGGTATGGGGGCAAAAAGAGGTAATGCATGTGACCATGAGCCAGGTTCAATGATATACATGAATAAAGATGTCCTAGGGACACCATTGTTTTGTTCACTTAGTAAAAGAAAATTCAAAATAGGAAACAGTTGCCCGGCACTGTGCATCACACCTAGAATCTCAGCACTTGAGACTGGAATTTGAAGGGCAGTCTGAGGCTTCACAGCAAGACTCCCTCAAAACAAACAAACAAACAAAAAAACCTAAATTAACTAATCAACTAAAATAACTACACAAAAAATAAATGAGCTTTAAAGGTCCCTGTTATCTTTAGATGTGCAGTGAATTTCAACATCATAAGCCTCATTCACAGAAAAGATTGTAGAGCCAAGAAGTACAGATGCATTGGTATCCAGAAGGAGAGGGAGAGTTCAAATTCACTGGACATGACTAGAGCATCTTGTTGGATCTCACAGAGACTTTGTAGGAAAATGAGCAGACCCTGGGATTGTTTCCAGGGTCATTGTCAGAAGTCTTTGGGTTCGTAATCATGTTATCGCCCTCTCTCTCCCCCCCTCCCCATTACCTGCAAAGGAAATGGAGGCAGAGATTTTAAGTGAGGACCACTGTGGCTGGAGATAAGCAACTGCATCTGAAACCATCAGCTGCCATAATCTCACCCTGGTTCAAAGCTGGGCTAGGCTTCGCTGGACTGTGCAGTATATAGATCACGTGGAGTCAGAGCCCCTTAAATGATATGATACATAGGGGGGTGGCAAACATGTCAGAGGGCAGAATTCTCTCTGGATCTAGGCTTTGCCTCCTTAGTATTTCGGGGTGGGTTTTTTTGGGGGGCAGGTGGAGAATTATACATGTATGTATGTATGTATGTATATGTGTGTGTGTTTGCTGTGCACGTGTGTGTGTGTGTGTGTGTGTGTGTGTGTGTGTATGCTCATTCAAGGGCACATCCATCTGGTATGTATGCATGTATGCTTTTGCAGAAGCATGTGCAGACAGGCATGCACTTGTATGCTCTTGCCTGTAGAAGCCAGGGGTTGATGTTGGTTACCTTCCTTGGTCACTCTGAGTTATTCGCTGAGACAGGCTCTCCATGAATCCAGAGCTCACTGATCAAGCTAGTTCAGCTGGCCAGCTTGCCCCACAGGTCCCTGGTCTCCGCCTGTCCAGCAGTGGGATTTCAGGCAGCCTGCCACATCCACCAGCATTTAAGAACTCAGGTCCTGTGGCTTGTGAGGCACGCATTTCACCCACTGAGCCAGTAGTCGGAGTCTATCAAGCATTCTCTTTTGCTTTTTAGCTTACACCCCAATCCACTGTTATATTTTTGCTCCCCAAAGTAAGTGAAGAACTGAAGAGCAAGAGAAGATAATGCAAAAGAACAAAGAAAAGTCAAACAGAGGAAGTAAGTCCTTTGTACTTATAAGAGGAGCATTGGCCAGAGAGGCTCAGAGCAACAGTAGTACATAATTAGGACTGTGTTGACCTGTTTCCGTCTCCACAATATCCAGCACGGCCTGCATGAAGGTCTGTGTGAAGGAAATGACTATTGTTAGATGATGTTAGTTATATGATGAGGACTGACGTCCATAAACAAGAAATCACTTTACTATTTTTTCCTGTGTGTGCTGTATGTACTTACTGGTGTGGATGTGTGTAAGTGCATGCGCACAAGGAAGCCATCAATCAGCACTGGGTCTTTCCTCCGTCATGCTCCACCTTTATATTTGAGACAGAATCACTCCACAATTGAGCCAGCTAGACTAGCCAAGGAGCTTGAGGAATCCACCTAGCTCTCTGCCTGCCCAGAGCTAGGGTACAGGCTCAGACCCTCAGGCTTGCTCATTAGGCATTTTGTCTCGACAGAGCTATGACCCTGGAATCTTCATTCACTTGTTATTAATCCCAAAGAGACTGTGTCTGCTATTTAAAGGTTCACAGTCTACAGCACTTGTATAGTGGGTGATAGTGTGGGAATGGGGAACAGAAGCTCCAGGGGGGTGTAGCTGAATTTCTGCCTTGTGGCTTCACTATTAGGGAAATGAATGGTTCTGTATAAATCACATGAATATCCTAGTGATTGAATTTCCTCACCCATTAGATGGCCTTGATGTGGTACCTACCTCACAAATTTTTGAGAATTAAATGTTAGTACAGTTGCCGATAAAATTCTTGAAACAAGATCAACTTTCTCTGTAGGTGAAGATGAGCTTGAGCTCTTGGTCCTCCCACCTCTCCATCCTTACTGCTGAGATTACAGGAATGTACCACCGAACCTAGTTTATTCAGTACTGGGGATGACCCTGGGGCCTTGTGCAGGCTAAGCCAGTACTCTTCTATCTGAGCCACACCCAGACCAACATCATTTTTGATTTTTGGTTTTGATTTTTTTTCTGAGGATTGCTTGCATTTTCATAAATGCTGTGCTTGGTTTTTGAGACAGGGTCTCAGTATGTAGGCTTGGCTGACCTGAAACCCACTGTGTAGCTGAGGCTGACCTTTAACTCACAGAGCTCTTCCTGCCCCTACCACATTCAGCTGTTACTATTATGATGCAACGTTAGAGACCAAAAACCAGGTTCTCCTGCTAGCAGACAAGCACTCTGATAGCTGAGCTACATACTCAACCCAAACGTTAACTTTTCAACACAAGCAAACCTCTCTGCTCATAAGAAAATTAAGTGGCTAGGCCTGGTGGCACCGGGCTGTAATCCATCGACTTGGAAGGTTGGGGCAGGAGAATTTCAAGTTCAAAGTATATTTGGATTTCATTTTCTGATGCTCTGTAGCACATTTAGCTATTCCAAGAGTCTGTGAGGGGTTGTCTTGACTGTATTAACTTCTGTAGGAGGGACCAACCCTCTGTGGGTGGAGCATATTCCTGTAAATGAGTCGGAGCCTAAAGCAAGCACTGTTCTTCCATGGTTCCTGCCTCTAGCATCCTGCCTGAAGTTCTTGCTCTGACTTCCCTCAATGATAGATTATGACCTTGAAGCATCAAATGAGATAAACCCTTTCCTCCCCTAAATCCCTTTGGTCAAGATTGTTTATCATAGCAACAGAAAGGATATAAGGACAAGGAGAAACGATACTGTGTTGGTTTTGTTTCCAAAAGCTGTGATTAAAAAGGAAAATAAAATACCCAAACAAAAAGGGAAAAAAAGAACTACTTTAGCTGATAATTCCAGATGACAGTCCACCACTTTGGGCAAGCCAAGACAGCAATAGCTTGAAACAGCTAGTTTCATCCATCCTCAAGAATAAAGAACAATAGATGAACGAATGCTAGTGTTGGTCCAGCTGTCTTCACTCTTAAACAATCCAGGACCCTCTGCTTAGGGAATGGTACCACCCACAGTGCACCATTAGAGGCACACCCACCAAAAAATCTCTCATTAAAGTTCTCTTTCCAGGTGATCTAGATGACGTCAGTTTTAGAAATTAAGACTAACCATCACAGATATGAATCATTTACATATTCCTTTTTTCTAAAGCTGTCTTCCTCTCTAGAGGTAAGTAGCATCGTTAGTGACATTTAGTATACAATTAAAATCAGAAGTTTTCTTGTTGTGAGCACTTTCCCACCAGCCTGTCCCAGAGCTGAGTTAGTCCAAAATAACACACAGAGACTCTGTTAGTTACAAAGCTGTTGGCCAATGGCTACAGCTTCTTATTGGCTAGCTCTGTCTTAAATATTAACTCATTTCTATCAACCTAAGTATTTCCACGTGGTCTTATCTTACCGGTGAGAGGCTCCAGACTTCTTACTCCTCTTGCGTCCTACATTTCAACTCCTCTCCACTACATCTCCCAGAATCCTCCTTGTCTCCTAGTCCCGCCTATCTTGCTTCTCTATTGGCCAACAGTGCTTTATTCATTAACCAACAGGAGAAATATATTTATAGAAATGACATGTTTTAAATGCTAAAATATTTGAAAGAGGGATTTTGTTTGTTTGTTTTGGTACCATAGTCTCAGCATGCTAAGAAATCACCCCATCACTGAGCACATCCACAGCCTTCTCTTTTTATTTTGAGATAGCGTACAGGCAGACCTTGAATTTACCATCCTCCAGCCCAAGCCTCCTGATTAGCTGGAATTACAGTCCTTCAGGGCCAGTTTATAAATGACTACGTGTTCTCTGGGTATATGTTTATGTGTATGCAGATGTGTGTGTGTGTGTGTGTGTGTGTGTGTGTGTGTGTGTGTGTTTTCATGCATGAGTATGTGAATGCATGTGGATGTCAGAGGACAGCAGCAGGTGTTGTCACTCATTAGGAGGTACCTCCTGCCCTGTTTTTAAATACAGGGTCTTTCATTGTCCTGGAGATAGAAGGTTAGAACAGTCTGTATGGCCAATAAGCTCCAGGGACCTGCCTGTCTTCACCAGTGCTGGGACTAAGGTCACACAACTGGTGACCAAATTGCAGCCTAGCAACCCAGACCAAACGGAACCCAGGCTATACGGATGAAGGGCCCAGGAGTCAGATCTGACTTCTCTTGAAAGTTCCAAGAGTTGACTCAACCCACAGCCAAGGGTGAAAACCTCGCCTTAGCAAGCCTCAGTGGCTGCCTCGAAAGCTGCTGACCCAGGCTATTGGGTTCCACCCCATAGTTCGTGAGTGGCACCCAGGGGAATGCTGGTAGTCTGTGGACCACACTGAAAGAATCGTGGCTCCAGAATAACTTCTGGGAACTGCTTTTCCTGCTTCATATTTTAACCCTCACTGGATCAGCTCCTTGCAGCCATAGAGAGAACTAGCTAGTGGGAGTGGCTCCTAGAGACCAACGTGCTCCCTCAGGCAGTGAAGCAGTCAGGCTGCCTGCCACCTACATCTCTGTTGATCCTGGAAATTGTCATTATATTCTGTTTCTGTAGAGGTATAAAAAGTCTGATAGCTCTTAATAAAATTATCACAGTTTAGCTTTGCTGTGGACCCTCCAACTGGCCTTGTTTCATTCCTTGAAGCCAAATCAGGTGACCTTGGCCTGATAAGTGAGGGTGGGTACTTACAACCAATCAACCACAACAAAAAAATCAATATGGCATTTCGCAAACCAAAGTCCTGTATCATTCAATGGAGGCTAAATCCCTGCATAGCCTTCCTAGAAATCAGGGGAAGGGTGAGGAGCCAATGTTGCCCAATCAGGTCAAGAGTGATGGAAAAGATGATGTTGGGTCCAGTTTATTCTTTATTCCTTATATAAACAGAATAGTCCAATTTTATCCCATCAATTATAGTTTGGTTGTTCTGTCCTCAGTCTTAGAAAGAAAAGGGTTTATTATTATTATTGTTGTTGTTGTTGTTGTTGTTGTTTCTGAGTTTCATAGTTCTATACCCAGTAGTTCTCAACCTGTGGGTCCGACCCATCAGAAAACACATATTTCCAATGGTCTTAGGGACTGAGATACTACTCAATAGTAAAATCTTAGTTGTAAAGTAGCAATGAGAATAAATTTATACTTTGTGGTTCCTAGGACCATCAGAAATACGTGCTTTCTGATGATCATTACCCACAGGTTGAGAACCTTGCACTAGCATAATTCTATAAAAACTAAACTGTTTTATTCTGCCAATGAAAACATTTCATATTTTTGTATTGAGTGGGAAGTTGCCTAATTCAAGAATTATGCCCTAAAGCAACATAGACCATTAAACTGTAACTCTACCCTTTGACATAGCCAACTGTATGAGAATAAATTAAAAAACAAACAAACAAGAGTTTCATTTTATTTTGTTATTGTAATCCTATAGAATAGAATGCCTTGGTGCTGTTAGGCTATAATATTAAAATAATGTATATAAGCATGACAAGTGTATCCCACACATATATTTATATATGCGGTGATTTGCAAGGGTGTTTAGGGTGACAGGTTATAACATAAAAGGACAGAAAGAATGAAGGGGCTGGAGAGATGGCTCAGTGCTTAAGGCACTGGCTGCTCTTCCAGAGGACTCGGGTTCAATTCCCAGCACCCATATGTCAGCTCACACCTGTCTGTGACTCCAGTTCCAGGGAATCTGACTCCTTCACACAGATACACATGCAGAAAAATACCAATGCACATAAAATAAATAAATTATATATTTTTTAAAAGGCGAGAATATTTTTGAACATAGAACAATTTCCTCAGATTTCATCTCTGTTTCCAGTTAGAATATTCAAAGAGGTCCACTTCTGAATGATTAGTTCACATGTAAAGCTGCAGGACAATGGATTTTAGTGTCTTTATAAACAGCTACTGTGATTCCTACTAGGATACCGCCAAAGGAGAAAATCATCCATCAATTGCTTGGTTCATGGGCACTGTGCCTGTCCTAAGAGTGACAGGATGAAAGCCCTGCACAGAGGCAAATGCTGGCTCAGCTAAACGAAGTCCATCGGCTATCATCGTTTTATCCTTGCCTGATTATTACCAGCATCCACTGCTGGGTCTTCTGCAAAATCAAATGCTGAAAATTCTCAAACGGACATGAGGGCATTAAAGACAATAATTACATGGCAGGCAGGGTGAAGCCTTTACCAGTGGCATTAGTGTCTTTATAAAACACTGTAAAGCACTCTGCTGAAGACAAGTCAGAAGTTGACAGTCTTCCAAAAGGAAGGCCTCCTCAGAACCCATACTGCTGGCACCTCATCTTGGATGTCACAGCCTCCAAACTATGGGAAATACCTTCGTATTGCTTCTAAGTTACCCATCCATGCCACCTACGACTGTCCAAATAGGATAAAACATAGAGCAACTGCCACAAACTTTGTTAAAATGCAGTTACTTTTCACTGCATTTTTACCAATGTTTATCTGAGCCAATGGTGACAAATGCATTTGATTATGCCCACTTACACCTTATAGAGGAGGGGGCTGATTCAGCATAGATCCAAACAGAATCTATTCAATAATGATACCCATACTTGTAAAGAGCCTCAGATACATTCTCCATGCTATCTTCTCTCTCTCCTGCCGCCCTAGATCCCTCCCTCCCCCACCCCCCCACGCTGTTTTTCGGGAAGGAAGGGATAGGAAAGGGGGAAGGCAAGCCAGAAGGAGGAAAGAAAGAACAGAGAGAAGAAAAGAAGAGAGAAGTAGATGCCTTTTTAGTCCTTCTTCACTTCACGTGTGCACATTAAGTATGCAGGTTTCAGTGCTCAACCTGCAGTGCCAGCAACATGGAGGCTGAGGCCACGCGTTCCAGGGCAGCTCCGGCTACGCAGTGAGAACACCACACCCACTCCCACGGCCATTAAAGAAAAGAAAACGTCATAGAAACGGCTTCTTCCCACCTCAATTGGTACTATTCTACTTAAGAGAAAGACATGTGGCTGGGAATGGGACTTAGTGGATAAAGCACTTGCCACACGGAATTGAAGACCAGAGGAGCTTGATTCTCCAGAACCTACTAAAAGCTGGCCGTGTGGCATTCCTGCGTGATCGCTGCTCTCCTGCAGGGAGATGGGAGATGAAGACAATAGAATCCCTAGAAGCTTGGCAAATAACAGGAATTATACTGAGATGTTTTGGACCCTGTCTAAATCAAGGTGGGAAGCAAGTGCCAAAACCCAAAGTTTTCCTGACTTCCATATCTTCACTATGGCAAGTGCACTACCCACCACACACAAGCACGTATATCCTACATACACCCACTGATGTGAAATAAAAATAAAGCATAAAACAAATAAGAGAAACGAGATCTAGGAAGCTGGTTCAGAAGGTAACACAAGGACCTGAGTTCAGATTACCAGCCATCCCATGAAAGCCAGGATAGCAGCATGCACTCCAGCATGGCAGGATGCACTCGAGCATGAAAGCATGCATTTGCAACCCCATGCAGAGACTGGGGGGGGGGGGCGGTGCTGGGGCTCAATGACCAGCAAATCTAGGCAAAATGGTGGGTTCTAGGTGTGGTGATGAGTCTTATCTCAAAACCTACACCACAGAATGATAAAGCAAGGCACTTGGTGTCATCGTCTAGCCTCCACGCTCACACAGGGATACCTGTGCATACACATATCTAAGAGAGAGCCAGATGGAGATTAGATACAGATATGGATATAGATATATGTGCTGAAAAGAAATCCCATCAAAGAGCCAATTACAGAAGGGCACCCTACCTCAGGAGCCATTCCGGCAGCTGGGTTCCACACTCGAAACCCTCGTCATAAGTTTTAAAATGTTGGTAGAACTCCTTGATTTTCCTCTTGTTTTGAAAAACAACCCTTTTTTAAAGAGAGTATTGACTGTAGCTGGATAAAGAAGATGCCTGCAAAGACAGGGAAACTCAGGAAGCCAACCAAGCAGCCAATGAGAGCTTTAGATACAAATTCTAAATCTAATCTAAAAAGATGCTCTTAAAACGACAAATGAGCAGTGGATAACGGGACACAGCTTTAGGGGACACAGCTAAAACTTAGGAAGTTCTAGCATTTGCTGCTGAAAGTCAAGCTGTCACTTAGGGTGACTGAAATGTGGCTATGTTTATCTGAAGATTTTTAAAAAATCCTTTTGAGGCCAGCCTGGTCTACACAGTGAGTTTCAGGTCAGGCTCCAAAGCTACAGAGAAACCCTGTCTCTAAAAACCCCAAAACAAAAGTCCTTTCTTAAAAACAAACAAAAATCTTGTTTTCAATAATATTTGTGTATGCATGTGTCTCTGTGTGGATATGTGAATGGAGTTGTCCCGGAAGATCTGGTATGTCGAATTTCCCTGGCACTGGAGTTATAGGCAAGTGTGAGCTGTGCAATGTATGTGCTGGGAACCAAACTTGGGTCCTGTGGAAGAACGTGTGAGCTTTTAACTGCTGAGCCCTCTCTCCAACCCTGAAGATTTAAAAATCCATTCTAAAGAAACATCAGATCCAGGCAAATGCAAAACGATAAAGAGAAATGAGCTGAATAAATGCCATTCAAAGAGGATTTATTTAGAAAATAGTAACAGCTAGGACCCACTTCATGTCTTTGAGTGTAGTCACAAATGCACTAGGAGTAAAGGAGGTAAGAGTAATCATTCATTTCTTAATTTCTCACCAAGGAGGTAAGAGTAATCATTCATTTCTTAATTTCTCACCAAAGTCTGCACATTCAAACCATTGCCAACTGAAACATATGTTGATGTTATTTGTGGTATGAATGAATTGAGGATGTCCCCTGTATGCTACTGTATCAAACCCTTGGTCTCATCTGGTGGTATTATTTGGGAAGGGTGTGACATTTTTAGGGGGTGGAGTCTTGCTGGGGGAAGTACATCACTGTGGGTTGGGGCTTTGAGAGCTGACATCCTCAGTCAAATTCTAGTTTACCCTCCGACTTTATAATCCTGGGGTTCTACTGGGGTGACAAAGTGCTTTGGCAACTCAGTTTTTCATGTGGAGACTTTATGACTATTCATTTGTCAAATGACTGTTGGTTTATTTGCTCACCATAAGGTGAGTATGCTAAACTAGAAAGTGCCTATTAATTAGAATGTAAATATTTTTTAAAAGTTCATAGTGGCCTAGTTAGGTAGAGAACATTAATCTACCCGGTGAATTTTGAAATCCAGGGTATTGCTTCCAAGTTTTTATTTGAAGACTAAAACAATTACGTATTTACCTTACAAAGTTGTTCAGATCCATTGTCCCATGGGCGCCTAAATTTTCCAGTTGCTCACGAAATTCCTCAGTCAGCTGCCCAGTAAACTGATGCATGTTCAAAGTCTCCATTTTTCCCTTCATCAAGACATACAGTTTCTCATGCAGTGCTAAAAAGACATTCTTTGGAATCCATGCTAAAGACAGAGAAAACTATTTTCACAAAGAAGCAACAATCCCTTGTGGCGTATGATCTATACGCCCCTGCTACAAATTGGTCAGTAGGGACTACTGAGGGAGTCCTCACCACAGCGCATAAACTCGATAGGCCTGCGGAGATGATCTCTAAATGAGTGGGAAGGCTATTTCTAACCCCTTCTTCTTGAAAATGCATAGCATCCTGAACTCTCCAGCATTCTGTAAGCTATTGTTTACACTTACAATATTCACCACTCTGCCACTCAAAGCCCAATTTCTACACACATACCAATATCCCTTAAGTTCTCCCCTAGATATCTTCTTGACCATTTCTTCCAGCAGAATAACTCTGACCCCACTATAGAATGCCTCTTTATAAAAGTATTCATCTGCCTTCTACAATATCAAGTTAGGTTAGGTCGGAGTAGGGTCAAGAGTTTTAGTTTTTTGTTTTTTGTTTTTTTTTTTTTTTTTTAACTACTTTCTACAATTTTTTAAATCTAGTTTATCTGGTTTGATTAACCAACTCAAAGTGTCTTTTAAAAGTCTTTAAAGAATCTCTTTTTAAAACAACTTGTATTTTATGATTCTGCTATGTTCAAGTTGTATTTTGAATAAATTTAAATGGAATTCAGATCTCCTGAGCTTACCAGAAGACTGATAAGGATGAGAGGCTGTTGAAGAGTAAATGTTAACAGATTTTTATCTGCTCAGTAGAAATGAACACGAAAGGTCACAGGGGAGCCCTGGTGAACATTCCAATAATATCCATATGCCACCAGCAGGTAAGTTAGTACCTTTTACTGAGAAATGCTTTAGCATATAGAACAATAGTTATATTCATAAATCAGAAACTCCATTGTTTATTTATCACAAGCACTGGAGAAGAGTGAACTTAGCCAGAATAGTGTGATGTTTCAAGAGAAACATGGTTAAATTTTAACTACTGAGTGGTTTTCCTAATAGTAAGAAATATGTAACAGAGTACATCAAAGGATTCTAAGAAGGAAAGACGGGCGGAGCAGAAGAAGGATACCTTAGGCAAGAAGCCAGGCAGGCATTCTGGGTAAGGAACATGGCCTAGGCACAAGACCTAGGGAGAAAAGTAGAAACAGCCACAGCAGGAACACATTCTCCAGTAATAGCAAGCAAACAGATGGAGGCTGTAAGAAAGGACAACTCAGTCCAGCTAGCCATACGGCTCCTATGGGTATTCTCAGGAAAGGCCATAATAATGGCTCGCTTATTAAGCAGGGAAACTACTGTGGGGAAGCAAAGTACAATCAAAGCAAGAGCTGTAGCCTGTAGAACATTGCATTCAAGGCAAAAGGCTGTAGGTGCTATAACACACTAGAGATTCCAAATAGTTTCTAAAACGCACCCATGATGGGAGCCTATCTCACTCAGATGTCTAAATGAAACCTAATATATTATACTGCCAATATTTCCTTTTCAATGACCCAGTCTATTACATGTTACATATTTTCTTCCTTCTAACCCTACTTTAATAACAAAATAATTGCCCTTCACTATTCTTAATAGAGGACCAAGGATGTAATTTTACTCAAAATTACTCTTGGGTTTCAATGTTATACTTCAAGGGAACTATCTAAGAATATTGGTTACCTGTGTGATAGATAGGATTTTGTACAGCTAGTTCAAAATTTACATGTTTAGATTTTAGAAACACGTCGATGCCTTCTTCTTCAGTAACAAAGGTCATCCGGTTTCCCATAGCAAAGATGGTAAATATTGGTCCATACTAGAATAAAACACAAACACAAACATATTAGTAAGCATTTCATGGATTATGTATAACACAGTTTTCCTCCAGAATACCAATACTGAGATTGGAGAAATGGTTCAGTGATTAAACGTGTGTGCTGTCCTTGCAGAGGATCTGAAATAGCTTCAAGCACCCACATTGGGCAGTTCAACAGCCATCCATATATAGCTCTAGAGGATCTGATGCCCTCTTCTGGCCTCCACAGGCACCTACACACATGTGCACATGTATGTGTGGTGATATATTATTTATGATTTAATAAAATGACTGGAGATCAAACTGCAAAGCTAGCTACAGCCATAGAGCCAGACAGTGGTGATGCACATATTTACTCCCAAAACTCTGGAGACAGAGACAGATGGATCTCTGTTCGTCCAAGGCCACTCTGAGCTACATGAAACTGATCTAGTCTAAAAAAGAAACAGCTCACACAAAGGTGAGCTCAGCCCTTGGAATCACTTGCCTTTAATCCCAGCACTTGGGAGGCAGAGGCAGGCAGATTTCTATGAGTCCAAAAACATCCTGGGCTACAGAGAGTGAATCAGAGATTGAGATGTATAAGAGGAAGAAGCAAAGGGTCTCATGTGAGATTTAGTTTCCAGACAGGGAAGGCATAGGATTGCAGTCTGGGGCTTGGTGGAGAGCAGTGCAGTCTGCATTTTGCCCCTGAGGATTCATGGAGACAGGATTGCCATTTTGGTCTGAGGTAGAGGTAAGAGAGAGTGGCTTGGCTGCTTTGCTTCTCTGGTCTTCAGCTTGAAGCCTGAACCCCAATATCTATCTCTGGGTTTTTATTATTTATGTTACATGTATGAGTGTGTGTGGACATACACACAGAATAAAATTAAAGAATATCAATGATGAAGTAATTGCCCAGATTTGAAAATATGGTTACATCTAGAACTTGCTAGAAATTCTGAGGGTCACATTTAAATTATACAAATCCCAATTTATTCTGTCCTAAAATGTGCATAATAAGATGCCTATGCTAGCTTCCTTTCTTGGTTATTAAAAAACAGAAAACAATTAGAATATGTGTGTGTGTGTGTGTGTAACCAAGATACCAAGAAGCCTATAAGCCACATACAACTCTATACTGCTCAAGAAAAATATGCAAAGCTGAAGGAAACAGAAGGCCTGCTTATGTTTAGACATCATGGCACTGACATGGATACCAGTCCTCAGGCAAAGTAGCTAATACAAGATATAAGGCAGCTACGAGTCAGCAAGAACTGACTAACATTGGATGTTCAGAAAGCCCCAAAGCAAGCAATAACAGAGTCTGTTATATAACCATTTCTGGCAAACTGCCACCTTTGTATGACTATAAATATAGCCTTGAGGTCATATGCAAGTCACATTTTGTCTTTGCCAGACCTTGTGTAGGTCTGTGTACCCATGTGCAGCCTGTGTGCTGGTGTGTGTGTGTGTGTGTGTGTGTGTGTGTGTGTGTGTGTGTGTGTGTGTGTGTGTGCTAGCATTGGCCTGGATGTCTGGCAGTGTCTGCCTGCCTTGTAGCTTGTTTGCTGGTACACAATACATATCTTGTCTGTCTAGGACTCCCAGAGTCACTTCATCTTCCTGGATTTCTGCAACCCTCCTCTTTTCCTGGCATCAGAGCTCAGACCTCGCAAATTATACAGTAGTAATCTTTTCCTTCCCTCTCATGCAATTTCTAACATGAGGCTTGCGTTCCGGGAGTCTGCCCTAATTAGCTTTAACCGCTGACCCAGCCTACCATCAACTGAGTATGGAGTCTCAATGGAGGGATTGCTTAGACAATATTGGCTTGTGGGCATGTTGAGGGGAGAGAGCTGTCTAATTTTCCAGTTATGTAGGAAGGCCCACACCGTTATGGGTGGCGCCATCCCCTGACCAGGGTTTCCTAAACTGTATAAAATAAACATGATTGTGTGAGCTGTGTTCTTTCATAGTTTCTACCTGTGAATCCCTGCCATGCCTTCGATAAATGATGAACTGTAATTTGGAAGTGGAGACCAAAAATTCCCATTCCTCCTCTAAACTGCTGTTGTTTGGTGTTTTATCACAGCAATAGAAAGAAAAGTAGGACAGTTTATGGCTTTATTGGAGCAAATAGATGCCATTTTCAGAGCTTTCTAATTATACTCCAGTATCCATTATGAATGTTGGCAACAAATGGTACACCATGAAAAAGAGCCACATATTTACATGCCATTTTGAGTCTCATAAGTATCTCAAGACATCATTTATTTACACTCATCACTACTAGAGCGTTACTCATTTTCACACTAATCATTGAGACTGGCATATGTTACACTCTTCATAAAACTGTTAGGGGCTACCGGGCAAACTGAAGGTTCAAGAATCACTGACTGCCAAGAACAAACATAACCACATCAACAAAAACCAACTAAAGTCACATTTCTCACATCTGCGACCCAGACATCATCACTGCCTCCCAATATTACCTACTGACAATTGTTTGCTAGTCGATATTTAAAAGAAAGCAGGCCGTTCTCATTGTTCAGGTTGTGTTTAAATGTGTATTCTTAACTTTCTACTAGAAAAGTGGTCTTCCTAGTAGGCTTCTTAGGGGCTTCAAGTGGCGGCCAAGTTCAAACACACTGAGCCACTGAGATTACTGCTGCCCCATGCTGGTGCTGTTGAAAGAGTTCCCTGTAGTATCCTGCACAGTGAAAACCATTCAGTGTAGGAATACAAACTCTACAGCAGTGGGTTCCTGTTTTATTCATTCTCCTATTCTTAATTTAATGTCAGGCTGCATACGAACCTTTGGGAGAGACTTTGCCTATTATCAGCACCCTCCAAAGAGTCATCTGATTCTGGGTGTGGCCAAGGCTTCATGTCTACACATTTCTGAGCAGAATTTCACAGAACACTGAAGGACATTTGCTGAAGACATTTGGGATCCTATTCCAAGGGTATTGTTAAAAGGGACTATAGATAAAACCATGCCAGGTTACATTGTAACCCCGAGTTTCTATTTCTGAAGGAGAAAGATCTAAAAATATAAGTACTGAGCTACACAATTAGCTGCAAGTTCTATTAACAAACCGCTGCCATATTTCCCATAGTGGTTGGACCATTAGGCATCTTCAGGCTCATTTTCTCTTCACCAGAGGCTGTTATTGTGGATGACCTTGAGTGTCATATTCCATCATACTCCATGGGGTATGGGAATTGCACATATTTTATCCCATTCTTAAGATTTTCTCTTTGTCCTCCTTGTGGGTTCTGTCACAGAGAAGATATTGCTGATTTTCATAAAGTCCGGTTTATCTGTTTTTCCTTTTATTAACTACTCTTTGAATGCCAATCAAAGAAGTGTTTCCTAGACGCCCCTCCCAACTTTTTGTTGCATGTGTTCTGGTTAAGACTGGGATCCATCTAGAATTAATTTTTTTGTGTATGATGTGAGTCTTAGGTCTCTTATTTTGTTTTGTAAATTATTACTTGTTTATTTCCTCCTAGCTAGTTTCAGCAACATTTGACAAGGGCTGTCTTCACTCCATTGAATTGCTTCTGTCTTTGCCACGAGTCAGCTGAGCGTGCTTGTATGGATGCCTCACCAAATTCCCTATTCTGTTTTATCTCTCTTTGTGTTTACATCTCTGTCAGCACCACAGTTAATGACAAATAAGCAATGAAATGGAGTGAAACAATTCTTCTTGGCTTCTTCCTCCTCCTTCCTTCCTTCTTTTCTCTCTCTCTCTCTCTCTCTCTCTCTCTCTCTCTCTCTCTCTCTCTCTCTCCTCCTTCTTTTTCTTCCAAAAAATGTTTTAGGGGCTCCATTCTCTTGGTCTTTCCACCTAAATTTACAATAATACTGACAAACTCTAAAATAAGGCTTCCAGAGGATTTCAAAGTACTCCTGATTTCAATTCGGACACAAGTGACATCTTTACTATGTGGGCTTCTCCAATCTCCTTCCATGACCACTGCGTATCTCTCCCTTAGGATCCCTGGTACTTTTTGTTAGCAGTTTGGGGTTCTTGACAAATAAGAATCCAACCTACTGGGTCATATTTTTACCAAATATTTGCTTGAGTGATTATAAGCACTATTGTATGTTTATGCACACATGTGCAGCTCCAGCAAGTGTGCAGCCACAAGGTCAGTAATTGTGTGCCAACCTTTCTGAATTCACATATTAATTCCAAGTTCTGAGAAGAGCCCCACCAGATTGTTCAATGTGGCTAATGAGCTGTACCTTAAACTCAGCCTTCTTGGGACCAGTGACTAATGGCTCATTTCAAACACTCCCTCCTCTACCTTGAAGCTTGTGCACTGCAACGTCAAAGTTTCTTCTTCAAAGTCATACTTTTATGGATCAGAAAACTAAATTGCACCAGCAGGTCCACACCCCATCTCCCAACTCAAGCACAGATCATGTTGATTTGCAGCCCCAGGTCACACACAGAGCCACTGCTGATGCCTTTAAGTGGTTCTTTCCTAGCGCTCTTAGGGAAACTCTCTTCGAGTGTGTCTTGTCTCTTCTGCTTTACTATTTATCACTTATTCTGCTTTATGTGTTGATTAAGAGAACACAGCACTAGCTTTGCTTCTCTCTGCATCATCCTGAAACTCCTTGAAAAACTGGGATGCACCTGAGCAAAGCCCCACCCAGGGCCCCCAGAACCCTTCAGCCGGCACTGCCATCAAACTCCACTTCCAGCTACTGGTGACAGGTAAGAATGGGACTGGTGTTATAGAGCTTGGGAATGAGAATTAAGTGGAATAGACAGAGAAGGAGAGGGAGAGGGAGGGGGAGAGGGAGAAGGAGAAGAAGAAGGAGGAGAAGAAGCATTTTTCACTCTAGCTGTGTCTACATGTTTGTGTGTATGTTTGCAGAAGCAGGTGCATGTAGAGGTCAGAAGTCAACACGGATGGTTTCCACCATTGCTATCATTTGATTTCTTTACACGGGGTCTCTCCCTGAACCTGGAACTCAGGGACTGGCTAGATTGGCTTACCAGCAAGCTCCGGTGACCCTGTTTCCTTCACCTGGGATCACAGGTGTGAATCAGATTCTCATGACTGGCTCAGGCAGTAAAGTGCCGGATGAGACTGGCCTGAGAAAGCAATTAATGAGAAAGTAGACTGCAGGTAAGGCATGCCATGCACATCCGAACTCCAGTCCTCAGAAGGCAGGCTACTCAGGCAGGAGGACTCAAGTTCAAGGCTAGCCTAGGCTACTTACTGAACAGTAAGAAGCTGTATAAAACAAAGAAGCAAAAGCCATTGGTTCCATTTGGTTTTCCTTTTGTGTTCCGTTTGTGTGTGTGTTAGTTAAGGAGTGGGTGAGCATTCCTGCTTTGGGACTTTGAGCTTGCATGGTTTAAATGTCTCTAATGCACTTCCTATCATTCTGATTATATGCTAAAAGTATTTTAAAATTCGCTTTCAGGATTCAAGCATCAAACAACGGAGCTACAATCTTTGAGTACAAGAGAAAGACCACACATACACTGTGTCATGTAACATAATAACTGGCTCTACAGAGCCCTTACACATGCTTGTTCTGACAAAACTTTGTCAAACATTCCATACAAATTGCTAAACTCATGTGACCATGGAAGGCTATGGGAAACAAAGAAATATTATTTTAGAAAAGATTCTTTTTCATCTTTTATGTATCAGACTAAAAGTTTCACAGAATTATTATATCCAGTATGGCCCAGCATTTAGTATGATAAGCAAATCTACATGCAAAAACTATATGTTAAAAACTATATGTACATCAAAGTAGTACAATAACACGATATAATCATAAACAATTTAATTGTGCATTTCCCCCCACCAGGAAATCTATTTTTTAGTTTATTCTGAAAAAGTAGTCAAATAGGCTTTAAATGTGCAGCTACATATACACATACATACACAAACATAAGAATATCCACTGAGGGCCAGCACTGGGGAGCAGAGGCAGGCAATCCCCGGAGGCTTGCTAGCCAGCCATTCTAACTGAAAGGACGAACCTCAGATCCAGTGAGAGACTCTGTCCCAGCAAAATGGAGTGCAGAAGTGAATCTTCAATCTTTGAATTCCACATGTGCCTTCCTACTTGGACTAAAAGCCCTTGCACATGAGAGGACACACACATTGTACAATGCATACACCCATTATGCAAAACACACACACACACACACACACACACACACACTGAGAGAAATACTGAATGAAAAGGAAATACTACTCACAATTTGTGTTTACGTGTGTGGGGGGCATGCATGTATCACAGCACCCGTGTGAGGTCTGAGAGCAACCTGAGGGAGTTGCTTCTCTCCTTCCACCATGTGGGCTCTGGATATCTGTCTCAAGATGTCAGACTTGGTAGCAGGCACCTTTACCCATCGAGCCATCTTGCTGGCCCTCTACCTTATTTTCAGAGACAAGTTCTCTCATAGAAGCTGGAGCTCGGTGGTTGGGCTGGACTGGCTAATCAGTGAGCTCCATCGATTTTCCTGTCTCTGCCTCTCATGCATTCAAATTTGAGATGCATTTGGCCACTTCAGCTTTTTTTTAAATTAAGATCCATTTTATTTGTATGTGTATATGTTTATATATATATATGTATGTATGTATGTATGTATGTATGTGCATGGATGCCTTTGGAAGATAAAGGATTCAGATCCCCTGAAGCTGGAGTTGTAGGAGATTGTGATTGAACCCAATGTGCGTTCTGGGAACAGAACTTGGGTCCTCTACTAGAGCAGTAGGTGCCCTTAAGAGCTGAGCCTTCTCTCACCATGTTTGCTCTCTCCCCATCCCTCACCTTAAACGTAGGGGTTAGAGATTGAACTCAGGCTCTCATACTTTGTAGCATGCACTTCATCCACCAAGACATCTTCCCAAGCAAGAATATAGGAAGATCTTGGCCGCTAAAATATGAATAAAAATTAAAAGGCTAATACAAGGGCCTTCTTTAAAGTGCTCAACATTCCAAGCTGCTTTAAGAACAAAAGTCTTTATAATGCATCCACTGCTTATCTCCTCAGGGTGTATGTAAAGGAGCAACTCACTATCAATAAAACTAGTAGCTGTGGGGTGAAAAGGAAAAGTGGCAAGCCTTGGATCTGTCAGGATCAACTTAGCAAAGCAAGTTTTACAAAACCGAAGTGTTACCTCTATTTGTGATACAGATTTTTACTCATTTTCACAAACTGAGACCACAGAAACGTCTTATCTTCCCCAAGTACTACACGTTTATATCTACACGTTAATAAACACGCCCTTAGAATTAAAGTAAGGAAGTTACTAACACTTAAAAGACATCTCTACCTCCAACAAGATGTGTTGTCTTACATTTCATTTCTTGATACCTTGCTTAGGACATAAGTGAAAATCATGAGTAGAGAAACAACAGATGGGATTAACTGCCCTGCCAAACGTGTCTATTTCCAATGTTCTAACACTGCGCTTAAAATCCCCTGCCCTGCACCCCGGACCCCCTACCGCCTACCTCCAGCACAGCTCCATACCTTGAGTCTTGCTTTTTCTATAAATTCAAGAGGGGCTTTTCCAAACTCAAATCCCGCTCCGATCCAGGGAACCCAACCCTGGATGCACGGGGGTCCACGCAAGTTCTGCCACCGAAAGAATAAGAAAAGCTTCCCAGGATGGCGATTACTACTGGTGAGAATAATTCCATGATGCTCATTTTCTAGAATCACAGACGTTTTGAGAACGTCCTCCTTCCAGAGCATTTACTCCCCCTGTGTCCACTGAGGAAAACTCACCAGGTCTTCCAAACTTTGAGCTGAAACTTTGGCAACTAATTCTCTTGCGGAACTGGAGCTCCTTTGCCCCGCCCCAATTTTTGTGTGATTTTTGCCTTGTGGCTCCCTTTCACCTTCGCCTTGCTTTCAAACTCTGGCCAGTAGGGGGGAAGAAAAAAAAAGCAATGAGTTGAACTACACTGACCTGAGTTGGGACCAGTGGGCGATAACACACGTTCTGTAGCCTAGATATCAAGTAACTGGCAGTTTGCAGAGAGCGCCTAGCTGCCAGCCAATGAAAGACGTCGCGGAGCCCAAAGAACTACATTTCCCAGAAGCCTCTTGGGTTCAGCTTTGTTTTTCAGCACCTGAGGCCCCCCGGACCGGTCCAGCTACTAAGCGGGCGGCGGCTTTTCAGTGCCTTGTGAGCGCACGTGGTCCTTCCCCAACAGCTGTTGGACTGAAAAGGGGCGGTGCCGGCAGGGTGGCAGGTGCACAGGAGACTAGGGGTGCCCAGTGGTCCTGACCTGCTGCCGAATGTCTGTTCCCGAGGAGGAGGAGACGCTGCTGCCGCTCACGCAGAGATGGCCCCGGACGAGCAAGTTCCTATTGTCCGGCTGCGCCGCAACCGTGGCCGAGCTAGGTACCGGCTTCCCTAGTCTCGGCCTCCCCAGCTAGTGGCCGCTGGCATCGCGCTGGGGGAGGGATGGGCGGGTAGCCCAGCTCCAGGTTGGAGCATCTTCAGAGGTTGCGCCCTCCCAAGGATGTGGGCAGGTGCCCAGTAGGCCAGCTTCGGGAGGAGCATGGATTGGAGGTGTCCAGGGTCCTTGTCTTCCCATCCCCAGGGATGTTGTCTTATGCCTGAGTGAGTACGCTTGGGCTCTTCATGAGCCCTCATACCACTCTAGGAAACATTTACCCTTTCGTGAGCATGACCTTTTAGGAATCACAATCCATTTGTTCACATATTTTTCATCCTCCGTGGGATCGTCATCGTCGAGGTTTATAGTTTTATGTGGCCTCAGAATCTTTTAAGATTCCAGTGCGGGGCAGGGGTGGGGGTGGGATTCCACCTTGGGGATTTCAATTACTAACCATACCTACTGGACATCTGCCTACAGTCAGCCAGCCACATCTCTTCTTGACCCTATGTCTTGTTTACCCTACAGGAGGGACCCTGAGAAGTAATTTTTATAAAAGTGGTAAACGCAAGGCGGGGTAGCTATTAATTGGGGCATTAATAACAGTCGATACAGTAGTGGGTCCTAGGTCTATAATTGCAAAGACCCTTGTGTGGCCTTCTTTCAGGCTAGTGGGGGCACAAGCAGAGAAAGGCATTTACAACTGCTGCCTGTTGCAAGAGAAGCTATTTTTGTGTATCACAAGAACATCATAGAAAGAACAGATTCATCTGTCTAAGTGAGTCAAAACACACACACACACACACACACAAATGAACAGACCACCTAGCGTGTATTGTGGTATCTTGGCATGAACAGATGGTATTTTGTTGGGGAGGGGGTGGTGAAGTTATTTCAGATTACTCTTACATTTTCTTGTCCATTAAAAAAAGAAAGAACGAAGGGGGGGGGGAGTCTAGTGCATTAGTCATTTGAAAATGTTACTCAGTATTGTTCTAGCAGAGGTTTATCTTTATACCTAGCATAGCCAGCACACTATTTGTTGTTTGCCCTTTAGATCCTTCCCTTTTTGCTCTTTGACCCATGTATATGTCTCTCTCCTCTAAAGCTAACAGAGCATTTACTCACCAGCTTTTACAGGCTCCTAAAACCAGATGACCGAGTACTTAGATACATTAACAGTTTGGTTTCTGCCCTGATGCTCATTGGCTTGTCCAAGAGCACTCCTGTGCTATGTGTTGGAGAAATTTATATGAAAAATAGGGATCGGAAGCCAAGGAGTCAAAGTTAGATGGTAAAGGGGCCTATAAGCCAGTTCAGCATGAGAGCCTGAACTATGAAATAACCAGAATAAAAACAAAACAAAAAACATGTTTTGGGGAGCAGAATTTATACTTGGAATGAGGCTCTTACCTCTTCATATGTTTTTTAGCTTCATGTGTTAATAAAACACTTTTTTTTTTAAAGCATGTAGATGCAAGATACATCTGTTTAGGGAAATTATTTGCTAGATGCTCTTTTCAAAACCTGGTGGAAATATCTAACATCCTCCCTCTCTTTCTCTCCCCCTGCCTCTCCCTCTCAGCCTCTCCTCCCCTCCCTTCCCTATCCTCTCCTCCCCTCTCTCAGAGGAGGTATTCATGGAGTCAAATCAGGTAGTGGTCACTGAAAAATCTTGTGTACTGTCAATGATGTTCATGAACTCATCTCAGTACCCTTCTTAGAGTTATTTGGAACCTTGTACTGTGTGTATAGATCTAAAATTCCTGACGTGGGTCAGGGGCTAAACTTTGCTTTTAGGTAAAAGCAATCTGTTTCTAATTTGACATGTGAACAAGTTTTCCAATGAATAACATTGGAACTTACAAAGAACTCATAAATGGACCATGTGTAAAACTTACCAGTTCAGAAAAAAAAAATAAAACTTTTGAAGAATTTTGAGGATTGCCACCCCTGTATATGAAGACCTTCTAACCTCATTGCATCTTCTGCATCTCAAACATTAGTTCTGTGATTGGTTCTCATGGGAAAAAACACCCATGAAATCATAGAATTCAGCTTCAAGTTTATTGTAAATTTGTATCAGATCTCAAATGATAGTTCCTGTGGTCACAACAGAATATGGCTACAATAAGCTATTTCTCACTGGGAAAATTGAAGGGGGTTTGATATTGAACATTTTTATTGAAAAGAGATCAAGGGTTGTCCTACTTTTGTGGGATTATTTTGGTTTTGTGATTTGGTTTGGTTTGGTTTGAATTGGAGGATGCTCTGGGATGCTGCAGGGCAGTGAGTCTTAAATTTGAGTGGGCATGAGAATCTACATTCTAAATCATCCTTCTACTAATCTGAGTGCCTGAAAATAGGATAGGAAATTTTTCAAAGATTCCCTGGGTGATTCTGCTATGTTCTCAATACTTCAGAATCTCCAAACCATGGGAGAATATTAATCCTGTTACTTTAGAAGTTTTGTTTGTTTGTCTGAATGTTTTGGGGTTTTCCCTTTGTTTGTTCTTTTATTTCATTAGCAACCTTTCCCCTCGATCTCACAAAAACCCGACTCCAGATGCAAGGAGAAGCTGCCCTTGCTAGGTTGGGAGATGGCGCAACGGAATCTGCCCCTTATAGGGGCATGGTGCGCACGGCCCTAGGGATTGTCCAGGAGGAAGGCTTCCTAAAGTTGTGGCAAGGAGTGACGCCCGCCATTTACAGACACGTAGGTATTTATCTTGATTCTAACTGGTAAGTTTGTTGAGTTCCGTGTTTTTTTGCTTTTCTCTTCAGCTGTATCCAAAATCCAGCAAGAACATTGTTTTATTTATTTTTCTCACTCCGATACAATGAATCAGTAGAAGAAAATATTTCCAGTGGTTATTTAGGAGTTAGTGCCCTAAGTTTTGAGAATGGCATATGGACGTACTTAAACGGTCCACAAGATCCTTGGGCCAGCTAGGGTAGCTGGAAGTGGTGAGCAATAAATAAAGAGGAAGACAATTGATGTCAGCTTCAGACCTCTTTGAGTACACAAATGTGCATTCATACTCGCGCTAATATGGTTCTACACACATGTGAGCATAGCTGCACACCAACCACACCAGACACACATACACATGGAAAACAACAACACCACAATACCTACAAAGCACTTTAAGATAGCCAATCAAGTGCTGTCACCTAATAAATCTTGATATAAAGAGAGATATAATTGTTTCAACTTGGCTGTATGTTTTGAGTATTTTCCCCTGTAAGTTCTTTAATGATATAAGACAAAGGAACATAAATAATTTACATCATTTTCCCTTACTTCATAAACCTTAAATACAGTAAAAAATGAAGTAGGCTTTAAATTCAGAGTTCTGAATGAGCTTTCAGGTAAATGTTTTCATGTTCTTTGAAAGTTAAAAAATATATATCATTGCCCTGTACATCATAGACCAGCCATGGCCTGACAGAAGGCAAGGAGCCTTCCTTGCTAATCTAGCTGTGGCACTAGGGTAGACGTAACACAGGTGGACTTGCCTTTGTCTCCGTTCTGTGTGTTATTAGTGATAGCGGTCATGGAGAAATCCTTTCTAACCCTGCTTCCAGGGCGACACTCACAGAAATGGATGTCATTAACCTGTCAGCTTGTAGACTAGAACATGAAATTAGTTCCAAAGAGACATTGAGATAGTGTGGCCTTAGGCCCTTCCACCTTATAGTTGTTTCCTTGGCCCAGAAAGCATCGCTTTTAAGCATGTGCAGGCTTCTGTTAATATTCTATTCTTCACATGAGTAGGTTAGTGTAGAACTTTTTAAAGAGTCAGAATTATGCACAGAAACTTAAACTGCCTTGTAAATTTTTTTTTTTTTTTTAATGAAATACCAAGTCAAACTTCCTAGAAGTTTGGTATTTCATATCAAGAAAGCTCTTGTATGGGCACCCTGTACTGATTTTAATGGTGCCATTTTCTATCTTTTAAACTATTTCTCTTTTGGACCCCATTATTGTTCCGTGGTTTTCCTCTTTCATTTGTGTGAGCCACTTCGTTCTTCTCCTGTTAAGATCTTTCAATTGTGCTTAAAATATGGAAGGGGAGAAATGTTACTGACTCCTCTAGCGCAGTTACATGTGCACTAGAAGAGAACATCTTTTGTACACCAAGCTTCCTACTTGCGTATTTGAGTTGAACTCAACACAGAGAGCTATTGTTTGGGCTCCCTTTTCATTCTTGTTTCTCCTCCCCTTCCTGTGGTGGCGCTCAGGGTGGTCTAAACTGAAACAGGAAGACAGGCACAGCTCCTCTACCTAGCCTTCCTTCAAGCTCTAGAATTCAGAAACCCTTCAGACCTTGAGCTTAGATGTAGCTGTGTGCACGTTTGGTGAATTAATGTCTGTCAAATAATAATAATAATAATAATAAGTAACCAACACTCCAAACCCACCTGGAGAAGCCCTGAGGGTAGATAAGAAGAAATCAATGGCTAATGGATTTGATGTTGCTGTGTTAGAATGGGCAATGTGGGCCAAGGAAAGTGCGAGGAAGGTCAAAGAGCAACTTTCCCCAAAACACAGTGAGCCGAGTCCTAAAAGCTGAAGAGGGATAAACAAAGCAGAGAAGGGAGACTTTACTCTAGAGAGAGCAGATGAGGAGTAAGAATTCCTCCCCTGGAAATTAATGAGGTCAGGCCACAAGGTCCTCTTAGTTTGTTAGACACAAGATTGAATCTACCTTTTCATCGTCTGTTTTATGCAGTGTATTCGGGAGGCCGGATGGTCACCTATGAACATCTCCGGGAGGTTGTGTTTGGCAAAAGCGAAGATAAACATTATCCCCTCTGGTAAGTTTAGTTTTGAAACCAGGATGTCGTGAGCACAAAGACTTTAATATTTATTGATTACATTTACATCAAGTTATCCATTTGTACTAAAATCGTTTCAGTAACAGACTTAACTAATGATAGAAATCCAAGTAAGTGAGAGTTGTGTACATACTGTGTACAGACACACAGAAATGCATATGTGCATTACTCATGTTTATTCAGTATTTTAATCTTAACCAATCCAAAGGTTGGGGAGAGAATACATGCCTATTACTCCAGCCCTTGAGAGGTGAAGACAGGAAGATAGAGAGTTGCAACCCTGTCTCAAAAACAAACAGTAATGAAGAATTCTACTGGAGCATCATCAATTGGGGCATCCTTTTTCAAACACCATTGTCTTAGTTAGCTTTCTATTATTGTGATAAAGCGCCAAGACCAGAAGCAACTTGTAGAGGAAAGAGTTTACTTCACTTACACTTCCAGATAACAGACCATCACAGAGATGGTCAGAGCAGGACCTCAAAGTAGGAATGAGGGTGTGGAACCTGAGGCAGGGACCCCAGAATGCTGCTGGCCAGCTTGCTCCCCATGGCTTGCTCAGCACGCTTTCTTAAATAACTCAGAACTACCTGCCCAGTGACAGCAGTGTGCACAATGGGCTGGGCCCTCTCAGAACATCAGATATTATTCAAGAAAGGGCCCCCACAGGCTTGACAATGTGCCATTCCGATGGGGGACATTTTTTTCAATTGAGAATCTCACTTTTCAAATGACTCTAGCTTGTGCCAAGTTGATGTGAGACTAGCCAGCATATGACTTTTATTATAGCTAGTCTGTTTTAATGAATATGAAAGTAATACATTAAATCATTGCATTACCATGTACTTTTGTAATTATATTCCAAAGACACCTGTCTCACTTTCAGAAATGCTTTGGTAAATTCAAGGCACTGTATATCAAGTCCTTTAAACCCTTCACATCCTAATGCATTTTTTTCCATGTGCCTTTTATTTAGAGACCATTAATCCCAAAATTAATTTTCTCAATGAAAAATTATTCTCTCAGAAAACATCACCCAAAAATAAAGTAACCTCTTTCTAGAGGAGAGCTAATTTGTGGTAAATATATGTTTTGTTTCTGTTTTTTGTATTATTAGAAGTTTTTGTATGGTCCAGTTTTTAAAGATCGTGTCTAGGAAGTGAACCATGTTTCTCTCTCTCTCTTTTTTTTTGTATCAGTTCTACCACATAAAGGCTAACAGTGAGGTCTGCTGCCTTCTCTGGACAGACAGTTCATTCTTTTTTCAGACAGTGGTCTAGCACAGCCTACCCTAGGAATCATGTGAAATTGCTTAAAGAAGAAATACCCAGGAGTAGATTTCACAGTCCTGTAAAGGACAGCAGGTTTGGGGGCACCTGTTTGTATTGTTTGGATCCTTTTGATAACAGAAAGAAGGCACTGTAATGAAGGAACACCTCTTGCCAGTTCTGCTAAAGCACATTTAGCAAACAGTTTTATATTCAAAGCTCCTTGTTCCTCGTTCCCTGAAGTTTAGGTTGTCACTTAATCTTTTTCTATTGTCCTTTCTTTTCTTTCTTTCTTTCTTTTTTTTTTTTATAAGGTTTTTCTTTCTTTCGTTTTTTAGGTTGTAAATGTAGGAGTTTGGAAAGGAGCCTTAGCAGTTGTGGGACTTGAACCCATACACTAATGTACTCCATTCCCAAGATGTAAGAATAATGAACGCATTTGATGTACAAATCCTCATTGTCCTGTGTGTTTAGGTGCCTCTGGTCCTTCTTTTTAGTCACTCAGTTCTTTGGCTTCCTGGACACTATGGTCCTTTGATCATCTCTTGGCTCTTTTTGTCTTTTCTTCTTACATGGGCTGCCAGCTATGACTGACTCTAAGGGCCAAGGGCCCTGCTATAGTCATCAGTGTTTCATGGGAAGAGCCCCATGCTCCGAGGATACGTGCTCATCCCTGGATGTTGAGGAATTGTGTTCTCTTCCCTCTATATGCCTGGTGTGTTCCTGTATCTCTGTAGCCTTGACTACACTTACAGGCTGAGATCCGAATGGACATGTACAGAGTTGACACTCAGTTTCCAGGTGGACTCTGTGACTACTCAGTACTACATTCTTTCATTTTGTTCATGCCAAAGATTCATATTTCCATCATGTCTTTGCTTATTAAGAACCACAGTAGTAGGCCAATGAGATGGCTCTGTAGATGAAGGAATTTGCTGCCAAGCCTGAAAACCTGAGTTAATCTTGGAGACTTAAATGCTAGAAAGAGAAATGATGCCCACAAGTTGTCTTTTGATTCTGTGTGTGTGTGTGTGTGTGTGTCCCTCTCTCTCTCTCGCACACACATACACACAACACACAAACACACACTGAAAAAGAGCTATTTTAAAGACTAGCTTTGTGCAGTCCAAATTCCCATAGCAGCCTTTCCACACAGCCACATGTGCTTCATTTTGAAAAGCTCAGGGATTTGAAGTCAGGGAAGGGCTTGCATCCCGTTTTTCTCCCTTAACAGGGGTGTGGCTACACCGCTGCTGAAGTGATGCCTACCTTTGCATGAGACAATGTACAAGTGCCCGTTGCTTTAAAATTTATAGCCGAGCAGTGGGGGGCGGAGGAAGGTAGATCTCTGAGTTCCAGGCCAACCTGATCTACAAAGCAAGTTCAGGATAGTCAGGGCTGTTCAGCGGAAAACCCTGTCTGAAACACATTGTTTTTAATGTATAACATAAACGTTAAGAGTAGTTCACAGGGGCTGGAGAGATGCTCAGCAGCTAAACATTTCCTACTCTTCTAGAGGACCAGAGTTCAGTTCTCAACACCCCTGTTTCATTGTTTATAACTATCTGTAACTCTTAAGTCCAAGGGATCTGAAGTCTCCTTCTAGCCACCCCCACACACACACACACAGAGAAAGAGATTAAAGAAAATTCTTGTAAAATAGTTCACCATAAACAATATGCATTTGTACCATTAAAACAAAACAAAACAAAAACATAGCTACCCAGTGAAAATAAGGGAAAGAGTGTTGAGAGACCCAGTTCCCAAAAGAAGTATAACTATTCATTACACATGTCAAAACAGGGAGCATCACTAATAAACAGGGGAATTAATTCAAATTCCCTTTAAAGTGTTGTAGAAATGTAAAGCAATAGAGCCCTTATAACATCCACTGCTGGTTTAAGCTTCTAACTTGGGGATGCAACACTGTAACCGTTATAGCCGAGCAGTGGGAGGCGGAGGAAGGTAGATCTCTGAGTTCCAGGCCAACCTGATCTACAAAGCAAGTTCAGGATAGTCAGGGCTGTTCAGCGGAAAACCCTGTCTGAAACCTTGTTTTTAATGTATAACATAAACGTTAAGAGTAGTTCACAGGGGCTGGAGAGATTGAGTCCTGCTCAGTGTTGGCTGGGAAGAGAGGAGCTTTGGCCTCCAAGTTTCTTCAGAGGGAGGAAAGCTGTCAAGCCTGTCACTTGGAAACCCAGCTCAGCCGTGGCTTAAAATTGTGGCTTTCCCTCCTTTGCCCCTAGGCTGATTGCACACATCTGCTGTTTTGTCGCCCTGTAGTCATAAGGCCAGGGGCAGAGAATTAATCAGTTCAGGTGTCTGTACAATTACAGCCATTTTTCTTTCCTTTGGATTCAGGTGGAAGGGTTTCAGACTTTCCCTTTAGTGCCTGCGCAAGTTCAGTGTGGTTCCCTTATAAAGTCTGTGAGATGGGTGGAGACCTAGAGCAAAATAGCAAACCAACCATCTGTCCCCCTTTGCGATTAGGAAATCCGTCATTGGAGGGATGATGGCTGGTGTCATTGGACAGTTTCTAGCCAACCCCACCGACCTGGTCAAAGTTCAGATGCAAATGGAAGGAAAACGGAAGCTGGAAGGGAAGCCCTTGAGGTAAGTCACCCAGGAGGCTTGCTTTTCCTTCCCCATTTCCAGCCTCCTGTTTCTTGGACATTTATCAAAGCCTCCCTTTTGTGATCTGATTTCTACTGAAGGAGTTAACTCCATCCTTTCCGTTTGAAGTTGAGTCCATAAAGAGGCATGAGCACATGATGACTGCTCTGTATCAGGTGAACTGTATCAGGTGTTCATAGCTCCTTGTTAGACTAGTCCCCTGTTCCGAGTAGATGTGAACCATTTAGACAGCCAGGCACTGTCATTTGGGCCTGTAATGTCAGCACATGGGAAGTACGTAGTGAACTCAAGGCTATGGTCTATAGGTTTCAAAAGGAGAAGGGGGGGGGGGGGTGGGAGGGAGGGAAAGAGAGAGGGAGAGAGAGCCTGCCTCTATATCACCAGTAAAGTGAAGGCTAACAGCTATTGCTTCCTCCTATAATTAATGTGGGCATTTGCATTACAAAACTTCAAAAATCATGATATCTTGATCATTTTACTAGACTCCGAAGAGAAAATGATGACAGAATGTATAATGCTGCCCACTAGAAATGTTTGAATCATCTTGCGCATAGCGGTACATGCCTATCATAGGAGGTTGAGGCAAGAGATTTTCAAGTTTGAGGCCAGCTCATGCTCAATAACAAGACTCAAAACTAGAAAAGACAAAGAATGGAGACAAGAAGGAAAATGTTGGGCTAGAGAGATTGGGTCAGCAGTTACGAGCACTGGATACTCTTGGAGCAGGCCCAGGTTCAGTTCCCAGCACCGACATGGTGGCTCACAGCTGCCTGTAGCTCCAGTTCTAGCGGAATCCAGTGCTCACTTCTGGCCTCATAGGATCCAGGCATGTCGTGTACTTTCATACATACAGACAAACCACTCATACACATAAAATAACAAATCATTTTTTAAAGGGAAATGCTTGAATCAAAGGTTGGCCTTTCAACACAAAATTATTCAGCTTATCTAGAAATTAGACTTATAATCCTTTAGTTTCTAATCATTCGGAATGAATATTATTTCATCCCTGATGGTATCTGTTGACCGTCGTTGACCTGTGCAGACCTGTCTGCAATCTGGGATTTGAAGACCTTAAAAAATGGAGGGGACTGCGGTCTAACACTGCAGACAGCTTTACTTCAGTTTCAGCGTACTTTTATACACGAATGTAACAAAGAAAGCAATGATCCGAGGAAGAGAGTTGGAATTCAGAAAAACGTGTAAATAAATGTCAGTAAGCACAGACTGAATGTTAACAGAGCAGCCCTTTCCCAGGACTTTCTCAAGACACACCAGTTTAAACACAGTTGCCTGGCACATATTGTAGATTGTATCTGGGAAGGCACGAAAGCAAGGCAGAAGCCAGATCCAGATCAGGGTGCACTGAGGACAGCGTTCAGCATGTCCTTTCACCAGATTGGGTTCTAAAGCTATGTTCCAACACTCAACAAGAACAAATATGCCTTATAAACTGAATGCAAATATTTGTTGCAGGAAATCACATCTGGGACCATCCAGGTAACAGAATGCACTTGAGGTAAAAGGCCCGCTGCCTTTTCTCCTGGAGCCTCTCTCCCAGCTCCCGAAGGTGTTGCTCACCACATGTCATTCCTTCACCTGTGTGAAGGCGAAATTTACACATCTGCCTTCCACACACAAGAACACACAGACTAACATCTCTGTTATTTTCCTTAGATTTCGTGGAGTACACCATGCCTTTGTAAAAATCTTAGCTGAAGGAGGAATACGCGGACTGTGGGCAGGCTGGGTACCCAATATTCAGAGAGCTGCGCTTGTGAACATGGGAGGTAACAAGCTGCTTGAATCTCTAAGTCATAGTCACTGAGTTATGGGAGACAACCCTGGGGTGTGGAAGGCATTGTCGTACTTTTCAGTAGCAGGAATCAGCAACAGTAACTGAGCATATTATCTTGGAGTATTTTCACCGCATTCAGTGATGTACAAAAACCACCAAAGGCAGAAAAGTGTTCCCATAAGCACAAAAGACCAAACTATCTACGGCCTCCTGCCCCAGCCCAGATTGTCCTGTGAGAGGAAACTAATGTGTGTAGCTGCCTGTCAGTCACTCTGCCCATATGCCCAAGTCTCAGTACCTGAGGCTCAGCTCCTGCTCCTTTGGAATTACTCCTAAATAGCATGGCATGCAGACTGGAAATAGGAAAGTTCCTCCCACAATTTATCTCCATCCCTCTCACTTTAATTACTATTTTTTAAATAATGTAACTATAAAGTTTGGTCAATTACACATCAAGGAAGTTGGAAAAGACTAAAACCCATTTTTGGAAGGTTGAGTCAGGAGAGTCATGAGTTCAAGGCCAGCCTGAGTCATAAAATAAGACCTTGTGTCACAAAAAAAAATTTAAGACATGTCCTAAAAATGTTCTTATTTAGGAAATTCTATCAATATAGTAATATATTACTAGAGAAGCTACACTTACACCATTAGGGAAAATATAAGAGGGGAAACATTTTAAAACTGTGTGTCGACAGATACCTTTATTGAGAAGTTAGATATAGCCTTCCCTAAAAAGAAACATTATTTTAAAGGTACATGCCTATTGTTATATTTTCAAAATCCAGAACATATAAACATGCATGGACATAGCATTTTATAACTTCAAAGGTTGGTTAATGGCCATTCTACCACCAGACAGATAGTCCTGAAATTGGCAATGCCTATGCTTTAGACATACAGTGGGTATGTGTATGCCATGGGTCCTGGTATGGTAGGCATGTTTATTCACCAAAATCAGCTTGAATACAGGAAAGATTACAAGCAACAGTGTACATAAAGTAGTAGCTTGTCTGTCTCGTTATGAATACAGAATTTTGGATACAGAAATGTCCCTGTCATCCTAGGTTTCCATCTCTGGGGACAGTCACTCCCTGTGTATGTGCACAGCAGGCCTTGGAAGGTAGATGTCAAAGCTACCGGCTACTTCCATCTTCTAAAATCATCTTAAGCCAACCCCCAACCACATAGTCCGGCACATAGTCCAGCCCCAAGCCCAGCACACAAAATGCATTCCCGGTTGAATGAATGACTGCTCAACCCGTTTCCCTTTGCCAGACTTGACCACCTATGATACAGTGAAACACTACCTGGTGTTGAACACCCCATTGGAGGAGAGCATCGCCACACACGGTCTGTCCAGGTAGGTGGCTGTTTTGAGTCATTTTGTTTTCTCTGTTTCCTTTTCTTTGTTTTAGGATTTCATTCTACTTCTATTGTGTGTAAGCGTTTGTGTCTGCCTGTGGACATTCGCGTGTGAGTGCAGGCGGCTCCTGAGGCCCAAAGAGTGTGTCGTCTCACCTTGAGCTGAAGATACAGGTGCTAGGACCCACACACTGGTCCTCCGTAAGAGCAGCAAGAGCTCCTAACCCTCTGCCATCTCTCTAGGCACATGTGTGGCCCTGTCTTAAATGGTTGGCATAAGCTCTAACTTTGGGGATCTTTTGGTCAAGAATGTCACCCGGAGAGGAGGAGGATGCTATGTTTTTAAAGGGTGGTTTTCTTCAAGTTTGTTGCAATTAAGATGTGGGAGGGGCAGATAAAATCACAGCATAGGTTAGATTAAACTCAGCAAAGATTTGTGCCTGGTTTGGGCAGGGCAGTTTCTGATGATGGTCTCTTTAACTCAATTCAGCAGCTATGGGCTGATTGTCCCAGTCTGGATTTTGCAGTGGCCCCGCCCAGAGAACTCACCAACAGGGAGAACTAGACAAGTATGAACACTGTGAACAGTAATTAAAGAGAGAAAAGACTGAGTCCCTACGAGTCTCAAAGGAGTAAAAGGGAAGGGACATAGCATAGTTTGAGGGATACAGCTCTTCAGCGTTCCTTCTCTCTGACACCCAGTTCCAACTTCTTCGTTACAATGAGTGACTTTGGGTGTCTTCTGGCCTTCACGTCACAGTGATTTACCTCAGCTGGCTCCTGGTCTTGTTGCCAACGACTGAAAAATATCTTCAACCCCCCCCCCTGCACTATTGAGATGGCCTTAGACATGCAGTGTGATATTAATATTTGCAAGTTGATGTTGGAGTTACACCTCCTTTCCTCCCTCTCCCCTTTTTTTTTCTCCCTCCCTTCTTCTCTCCCTCCCTGCCGGCCTCTCTCTGTGTATACCAAGAATATTCCTTCGTACATACTACTCTCTGTCCTTGTAACACCTCCTCCAGATCTGCACTGACAGACAGGTGACCTGGTCACTCCCAGAGCCTTTCCTTGCCTGCCTGTCGCGTAGTTAACTGGTTTGCACCTATCATGTTTGCCCATTTTGCTTTTTCCTAGCACTGGTTGGGATCTGAAGTTAGCCATTTTTCCTTGGCTTCTCCCTGAGTAGAGCTTAGTCATGGCCAGAACAGGATCTCCTTAACCATTTATGATAGTAGTATTGGGGGGGGCGCACTAATGGGGGAGTGAATGTGTGCCATGCTGGCCTATGCATGCCACAACAGGCTTGTGGAGGTCAGAGGACAGCTTTCGGGAGTGGCCTCTCTCCTTCCATTGTGGTTCATCAAGCTTGCCTGACGAGACAAGCTACCTCAAAGGGGACAATCTTATCGCTCTCATTCCCTGCATGAATGGAAGCCTGGCACCAAGAGGCACATTCTGCTGGCTGGCCAGGCTTGAAATATTTCCTGTCCCTTTAACAGAACTGAGCACTAGTTTTAAAATCAAAGAATACTTAGCACGCCATTCTTGTTCAATATTGGGCAGCTATTGAAATATTCTCTTTTAATTTCATTTCTTTGTGTCTACAGTTTGTGCTCTGGACTTGTAGCTTCTATTCTGGGAACACCAGCTGATGTCATTAAGAGCCGAATAATGAACCAACCCCGAGACAAGCAAGGAAGGTAGATAAATCCTAAGTGCACACATGTTGGATTATCTGCCACACTCCTTCCTGGTCTTTCAAAAGACGCTTTCTTGTGGGTTTTTGCAATAGAAATGTGATCACGTGTTTTCCTGCCCCGTGGGGCAATTGTGGACGTGAAATTACCTTCTCTTTGTCTGATGCACATATACGAAGCCTTTGGGGACTTGGATGAACGGTCATATTATTTAGACACCAAGTAGTCACTGTGACTTCATTGTTCTGAAAGCTTATTCTGCTAAGAATTTGCAGACACCTCTGTTCAGAGCCTGGGCTTTTACATAACAGGATACGACCTAGTATAAAACAGTCTTTTCTCTCTGGAAGAGGTCAGCTGCAGTGAGCTCAGAGAGGCTCAAGGGGCGATGGGATAAAAGAGTCCGCAGGCAAATGCCTGCGCTCAAATGAAGATACCTATGCCAATGGAATACTGATGCTGTTTGTTCTAAACAAGCAGACAGCATTTGATGATCACCTTCCCTAGATGGCTGTATTTACACCTCTGTTTACACAGGAGGCAATGTGACAATGCGCTCTTTCTCCTTGCAGGGGACTTCTATATAAGTCATCAACTGACTGCTTAATCCAGGCTGTCCAGGGGGAAGGCTTCCTAAGCCTGTATAAAGGCTTCCTGCCATCCTGGCTGAGAATGGTAAAGATGGGGTCTCTTTTGTGTTTGCTTTTATTGTTGTTTTCTTTGTATTTGAATTACATGTACCTTACAGATACATTTCCCCTTCTGATGTAGGGCTGTGCCCTGCCTCCACAATAGGTCCCATCTATCCTTTCTTTTTTTTTCTAATACTTTTTTAGGTGTGGTTGGGTTTTTCTGTTGTTGCTTTTTGTTTTTTCACCTCTCCTTAGAACCATGTTTCCTTTCTTGATAGACAAATGAATGAACCAGTCACATTTATTAAGAAATAGGCTGATAAACTGTTACAAAAGTAAAGACATGCTCTTTACCATTTACTTATTCATTGTGTGTGATATAAGACCTTTACTAGTCTTATGTATCAAGCCCTGGGCTGGGGTGGATACACAGATTTCAGAGTGGAGCTCTTCTGAGGGAATTTTGCTGCTTCAGAACTTGTTATTTTGGTGGCAGAGTTATCCAGGTGTTGTTACCACAGAGACCCTGCTTTAGAGGAAGGTGTTGTGCCAATACTTCTGCCCTCCACTACAGTGCCGTGAGACACAGCAGTAGACAGCGTTAGTAATGTCATAAGTATAACTAAAAGCAAGGCACTTTTTAAGTACTTACAAATATTTGAAAATGTGGAGGAGTTGCGGGGTCAGAAACTAATCAATCAAAGTTCCGCATACTATAATAAAACATGTAACCATCTCTATTTACGCATGTTTGAGTGCATGCCCTGTAGTCAGAACTTGGCCTGGAATAGGAAACTATAAATGGTGAGTTCATAGGAAGAATTGCTAGTGCTCTGGAGATACACAGAAAGCGAGTAGAACAGTCTGCACAGGGAATTGACAGGGCCTCCCTAGAAGAGACTTTGCAACTGACATTTGAGCAGTGACTAAAGCTAGGCCTTAGGTGAGAAACATTCCCCGGAGAGGAGAGGGGTGGGAGTATACTGAGAGCCTAGGGGTAGAGTGTAGGAAGCCCAATGAGGAGGTGGGCAAAGGGCAAGACAGAGAGGCTGGAGCAGCTAGAGAGGGCCCGGTGAACTGTGCGTGCCGGGGTAGGCTGAGGCTTAGCCACTTCTACACTAACATCTGTCTTCTCTGAGTTGAGAAAAAGGCCTGGGTGATCAATGAAGCTTAACCGTAGAGTCGGGCAGTGAGGGAAGAGGACACCTTTAATAGGTATTTGGGGTGTAGGGGCCTGATTAGCTAAGTATAGCAGAACAGCCAGAGAAGACAAGGAGAAAAAGTGGCCCTGGGCCATGGTGCTGACAACAGTTTGATCAGATGGACATCATCTGCAGGGCAAGAAAACTGTAGATGAAATCTGCAGAAAGGGGCCAGGACACACAACCACAACCCAACCTGTCCAGGAAGCAGAGAGCTATCTACAGAAAGGGGCCAGGGACAGGTGCATTCAAAGACTCTTTCATACACACCCTGTCCAGGAAGAAAGGGACAGGCACACTCTTCAAAGACTACCTGGCACACACCCTGTCCAGGGGTTGAGGAGGTGGGTTTAGTGGGCTAAGTGCTTGCTGTGTAAACACAAGGACACACACACATACACGGACACACACACACACACACAAATGCACATAAGTACACATACAAAAAACTAGGAGACAGGGCGGGGGGGGGGGTAGAGATGGAGGGCTGGTACCAAAGAAAGGCTCCTCACCCAGCAAGCATCATCAGGGTCCTTGCTGTTGCCCTGTTGGTTGCCGCTATGCATGATTGAACCCAGACATCTGACTCATAAGCACCTTCAAGTATCCAGCTGACTTCACTGTCGCTTGGGATTAGGTCAGAATAGCTGGTGTATTCACACCACGCCACATATTGGCCATGGGCTAGCATGTTCGTCATAAATTTAAGCCCTGTGCGAGCCCAAGTTGTCAGTGGGAGGTCACTTGCTAAGGGTCACGGCGGGAGCTTATTTGTATATTCAGTGGAAGAATATCAAGCCAAAAGAGCTTTTGAGTATCCAGCTTTGCAGAAACGGGAATGGGAAAGGACTTGAGTGGGCTCAAGACAAACCCGAGGCAGGACAATATGCAGAAGGGTTATTGACAGTAGTCACAACTGTGCTGCTGAGGAACTCAGTAAGTACCAACAGCATGGGTGTACAGACACCCATTATCTTCCCACAGGCTTTAGCTACATGATCTCTCTCTTGAACTCACTCAGTACCCCCCAGACCCCACCACAGTCCTTTCCCTGAGGCAGAGGAGGCATGTTGCTTCATCCAGTCTCCGTGGTTTCCAACCTGTAGTATTGCATTTATATGAAGAGCGAATCACACCATTAGAAATGGCTGTAGATCCTTCTTAGCTAGGACCCCTGCCTCCTTGGGCTCTCTGCAGTTTCCTCTACTGCTTCATTTCTGATGACATGGGAATATGGCACATTCGCAACTTCGTGCTTATGATTTCAGCTGTGTCTGAGCAGATCAGCTCATTGCTACTTGGTAAATCCTCAGTGTGCCAATGTAACATGTTGAGAAATTCCAAACATAGGCATATGCATTCCTTTACAAACACACTGAGCAAATACTGTTTAGATTCTAGCTAGTTGACTCTGTTACGCAGTGAAAATCCTTCCTAGGCACCGATTAGAACCAAAGTAAAGCAGAATACCATCCAAGTACCCTTTTCTAATACTTGCTAGTATTTATGTCTCCATCTACACCCTTCCCAGTTCCTGTGGATGTGGTCATTCCGATTAAGGTCAAGCCATTCTGAACCAAGAGATCCTTTTTCTATGTAGTGTGAACTCGCTTGTGCAGATTGCAAGACATCTGGGACTGAGATTTTATGACCCAACCCTTAAAAGCTGATCTTTGTCTTCCTAAGTCTCTAATTGGAGAGCAGTCTAGTAGAGAAGTCAAGGCATCCCACGTTGTAGCCTTGTAACCAGAAATGGTCAGTAGAAAGAACCCTGTGGTCTAGTTCCACACTGAGTCAGTGGGCAGTGAACTACTAAACCTCAGCATTCTCATCTATAAAATGGAGATGTTTTTTTTTTTTTTTGAAAGTTGTTTTTAGGGGAATCTGTGATCAATATGACATGAAAATTCTTTGTAAGTTTCAAGGTGATTTACAAAGGTAAACGAGATTTATGGGGCCTTTTATTTCTTTACAAGTGGGTTGAAAATGATGTATATGTGATATGTAGAATATTTGTAATTACTTTGAAATATGCACTAACCTCTTTGGTTAATCTTTCAGACCCCTTGGTCAATGGTGTTCTGGCTCACTTATGAAAAAATCAGAGAGATGAGTGGAGTCAGTCCATTTTAAGCCCTTAAAGCTAGAGTGCTCGTTGTTACTGAACAAGGGCATCCGCAACCCACGCCCCCTATTATTTCTACCTCTTTAGGAAGATACTTTACTCCACAGAGACTGCGATTTACAGGGGGAAGCACTTTCTATTTCTATGGAGACCGAGTTCTCTCTGACTCCGCTCTTTATCAAAGAGTGATCTATCTGGTCCCAATCTCTCAAGACCAACCACTGAGACTCAGCGCGGCATTTCCTAAAGAATGGAACCTGGACCACTTTGACCTTGGACCAGAAGGTGTAGACGTTGAGCTGCTGGCCCCTGCAAAATCATCTGCATAGAGGGGTGCCAGAGGGAGCCAGCCCCTCCCTCAGACCTGGATAGACTTCAGCAGCATGGAAGACCTTAGTGCTTAGGAAACACATGTAACATGTGCGCCGGTATTCATTGTTGCAGTGTGACCACTCACTCTTCTGTTATTAGAGGGCACAGATTGTAAACTACAGAGAGGCAAGTGAAAGTGCAAGAATAAAGGTTTTGAGTTTCCCTAGTGCTGGAAGAAGTTGCTTTACCATTTCTTGCAAGGAGGATGGAAAAATAAAAGAGGCAACTTGCAGTGATGTGTAGATCTCAAGGGCAGAGGCCACCAGCTGTCAGGGCCCACCTTTAGGTGTGTGCTCACGGCTTGCCATTCCTTCATGCACGCTAGAACCTAGTAACTTGCACTGACAGTCACAGACTATCTCGGTGAGAGCAGAACATTTGCTGTGTGTAGCCTACTCCATTACAACCCTGCGTTTGTCAGTAGCTCTGAGAATCATTAACAAATGGAAACAACAGCGTATTTGCCTGAGATTCATCATGGCATCAACTCTTCCTGGGCGGTTTTGGAGCAAGACTGGCATGAATCCAGCTCACCCTCATGCACTTCCTTCTGTATCTGTCCCCTCTGTCACAGAGCTGGGAGGGCAGAGAGAGAGAACTCAGATGCCATTCTAGAACTTTCAGAAGCCCCAGTATTAGTCATTTTGAATCTTACTTATCCTTGCATAAAATGTGATGAGTGTACACCATCTATGGTTCATGACCGTAGATTTGCATCCACTCCTTTTTCTTGTTCTCAAAGGGTTTCTCCAGAATCACCTGCCCACACCTGCTTCCCTAGCCACAGACGCAGGGCACATCAATATGGATGGGCTATAGCTAAGGGTAAAAGCTGGAGATGTTACTAGGAAAACTCAACCACTCAGGCCCAAAGTAGACCTCAGAGCCAACCAAATAGATGTCATGATGGACATAGATGCTGGTGTGCAGTGTGACTGTGTGAATGGATAATCACTGCCATTTTAAAGGGGGAAGCACACTTTTAAAGATCTTTCAGTGTGTGTAACCATCTCCTTTTTCTACTTGCAGAAGGCAGAGTTTGATCTCTTTACATCTTCAGATTGCCTACCTTGCCACTGCATTTGTCAGTCTGTAATTGAGTTGCTAAATACATATAATCTATATTACACTATATTACATGCTTAAGTCTCCAAGTATTCTGCTCCACAAACTGAATCACATTGGGGAAGTTTTGGTTTTCCTATGTTTTGTAATGTTTATGACTAAGTAAAGACAGAATTAAATAATTATATGCAAACTGGACTATTAAAAGTGGCTTGGCTTTATTCTTTTGGGGGCTTGGGACTGAAACACCACTCATGTACTGACACATTGTTCTTTGGTTTCTGAATCCACATGAAATTGTTTGACATCATCCTCTGGGATCGTCAGGTTTAACTCTGTCACTTTACAAGTTTGGAGACAGAAGCCCAGAGAAAGGAGGCTGCTCATACTGAAAGCGCAAAGGTCCTGATTATTATGGGTATGACAGTGGACCATCATTGTGCACTAATGGGTGCCCAAGCAACTTACATCAGCTTCATGATAACGAGTCTCAGAGTCTGGAGTCATCACCAGGGATTGGTTTGGTTTGATGTTGATGTTGTTTTGTCTCATACATCTTCAGTAAATCTGTGTTGCCTGCACATGAAGTTTAGGATTAGACAAACTTCAACACTAAGACTGCATCATCTGCCTGCTTTCTTACTGATAGCTCATTACATCCACAGTTTACTAGCAAGCTTGTCCTCTTGGTACCCACTTGGAATATGCTTGGTCCTTTGCAAAAGTGAACACATCAGAAGAATACCATCTGTAACTTTCTCACTTTCTTACTGTGGAACTCTGTGGAGCTGTTCAAGTTTTCTGCAGCTCAGTATAATTCTAGGGCATTTTTTCTTTTGTCTTCACATTTTTCTCCCAAACATTTTTCTTCTTGAAAAACTACATATTATTGTTATAAATAGTTCTCTGTTCTTCATAAGCAAATTAACAGGTATATCTAATTAAAGTAATAGCATTTCTTAAGGCTGATTTTAATTAGAAATATTTTTACTTTTTTTTATTTTATTTTACATCTATTTTGCCTTCATGTGTGCTTATGTACCACTCACATGTGGTTCCTAAAGAGGCCAAAAGAGGGCATTGAATCCCCTAGAACTGAAGTTACAGATGGTTATGAGCTACCTTGTGAGTGGTGGAAATTGAACCCAGGTCCTCTGGAAGAGTAGCCATTGCTCTTAACCACTAAGCCATTTCTCCAGCCTTAGGAATAATATGTGATTTTAGAGAGCTTCAGGCCCTGTTGGATTATAATCCTTCAAGGGTAGGACTAGGTATATCTGTTTTATGTGAATTACTGGGGGCTCATTAACAGATTTATTTATTTATTTATTTATTTATTTGGCTGTCCTCAAGGAAAATTGCTTATTGCTACATATACTAGTTTTGTCTTCATTATTTTAAAGCTATAGCTGTCATGTAGGTCTAAAATGTCTCTTGCTGTGTGAATTTAAAAAGGAATCAAATTGGAGAAGTTAAGTGGAAAAACTTGTTGTTGAACCTTCATATTTTCAAATACATTTATTTGCAATTTAGACAGTTACACATTTTTCCCCTCCATGAACAAAAGCAGATTTCTTCAAGACATCTCTTGGCGAAATGTATAATGTTAATATTTGATGATTCGGATACGGGTTTTGACATGGCATGGTGGCACATACCTGTAATTCTAGTTCTTGGAAGGTAGGAGGATTGGAGTTCAAAGTCATCTTGACTATTTGGTAAGTTCAAAGCCAGCCGGGGCTACAGGAAAGACCTTGTCTCCAAATCAAACAAAATATTTGACAAGTAAACCATTCTCTTTCCCCTGCTAACCCAAAGCTCCTCTTCCGTGATTAGCAGACAACCACCTATTGTGACTGAGTGCCAGTTAACATGGAAGGAAGCCTGGCCCTGGATCTGAGAACCTCCCTTGATTCTGGTCTCTTCTTTTAACAGAAAAGAACTTGGACACTGTGGTCCAGTCCTCAAATCTCTAGGTTTGTTTCTTTATAGAAGGCTACGGAAGAGCCAGTGCTCTGTAGGAGGATATAGAGGGGGCACTGTTCTATAGGAAGACAGGTGGGAACCCTTTCTCTTTAAGATTAGAGAAGCCACTGCTCTTTGTATGTTAACCTAGCCTGTATCCAAGGGGCCATTATTTTGATATCTGTTTTTTAAAAGAAAAAAACAATCATTTGGATTTGCTTTCCCTGAGTGTAACTATTTCCTCATGTTCCTAGGTTGGAAATGCTGTATTTGGCTTTATGGCATAAGCACTGTAGCTGGTCTGACTCATTGTGAACTTCATTTTTCTCAGGGTAATTTCTTTTTAGTAACTGGGATACATCACCACGTAGTATTACCTTCAGCTGCTCCTTCATGTCTAATAAAGTTAAAATCTTTAGTGATGTGTTCAAGGTCCTGGCTCTGACCCCACCCATTTGTGGCCTTTCCTCTGCCTGCATCTCTGCCTCTTCCTCCCTTAGATGCTCAGCACTCTGCTTTTGTCCCTAGAGATGTGCTCCACTCACCTGCCTGTCGTGCGTCCGTCATTCTGTGTTCTTCCCCTAACTTCTGTCTGATCATTGCGCCTACCCTTTGTTTTCATTGGTTAGTTCCAGATTTTGTCTATCAGAAGCTTCCCCTACAAAGTGGATCAAAATGCCATTTTCCTCTACAGGGGTTGAGGGTGCTATCTGAAAGCGGGGATTCTATAACACTTCCTTCAGGGGCCTAGTAGAGGATGTTTGTTAAATCAGAAGGTTTTTCTCTCTTCATGAAAACGGAGAGAAAAACATCTATGAACAGATGATTATATATTATTTTCCCTCTATCTCCTTAAAGATAATGATGAGTAGCAGCTGGAACCTCATTTAAGATATTTACCAAATGCTAACTTCCCATTGCAAAGATACTGGTCTCAAAAGCATTCCAGAAATACCATCTTCCTCCATTAAAAACTTTCCATGATGGGCTGGCAAGATGGCTCAGTGGGTACAGGCACCTGCTGTCAAGTTTGACAGACAACCCAAGTTCCACCCTGGGACCCACATGGTAGGAAGAACAGACTCCTGCAAGCCCCACCCACATCAATAAAATAAAATGCCTCCCATACAGGCTAGGATTGTGTATTTTCAAATAATAAAATATTCAATTAGTTGACTAATAGCTAAAAAAAAAAAAAAAAAAAAAAAAAAAAAATACCTGGTCTGATCCTTCATTTTAGAGTAGGTCTGGAAATTTGGCTTTCATTTAATCCCAGACAAATGCATGTTTACCCCACTCAAGTGCGGTAGCATTTCTGACCTTTGAGGTGTACATGATTATTTTTTTTTCTCCCATACTTTACCCCCGACAGGCTGCTGTGATTGCCAGTAGCAGCAGGAACCACTTTGAAGGTTGATTAAAGCAGCTGAAGATGCTCAAAGAACTCTGTTTGCTGAAGATGTCTGGAAACAAACAGGGGCATGTGAGTAAATACAGTGTGGTAGCTATCCCTAGTTTTTAAAATTGATGCTTTGAAATGCCCGGTTGGTTTAGTGGTCATTTTCTATCAAGGTAACAATAAAAATTTAGAGACATTTTAAATCTTTACTGTCCATTGTGGAAATTGAAATTGGCGTGAAATTTGGAGTGTTGGGTTTGAGATATTTAATACTAGCCGGAAAGACGGTACGTTTCGTGGCTATAGTTTTTTTTGTTTTGTGATGTGATTTTTTTTTTGTGAGTATTCCTAGTTCACCCAGTTATCCTGTGCATGTGCTCACTGCCAAAGGGGCAGCATTCAGCTGCAGAATGAGGGAGCCTTTGACACATGTCTGCTCTGATTCCTGCACGTGTGGAAAGCTGTCTTTGCAGGGCTGCAGTCAAAGCCATCTGACTTGCCCATGGATTGCACCTGAGATGGGG